AAAAAAAGTACAGGTGGACCCGTTGAAACTATGAGAAGTACAAATCGTCATGTCAAAAACAAACTTTACAACTTTGGTGGGGGGGGGGGGCGGCGGGGGGGGGGGGGGGGGGGAGGCTGGGAAGGGATGTGAAGGGTAAACAAAGGAGGAGGCTGCAATGCTTGATAAGAAATGTACTCATTATCTTGCCCATGTAATTGTAACCCCTCTGTACAATATGTTCACAAAAAATAAAAATTAAAATTAAAAAAAAAAAGATACCTACAAGAGCCTAGAAGAGATTGGGATACACTATCTTGATCTAGGATCAAATGATCGTGTCAAAAGCATTTCATCAGTGTCTTGCAATATTTTCCTTTTGGGGGAACTTTATTAAAATTCAGCGTGGCTCTCATATGCCATATTTTCCCCTACCCAATAAACTTTTTTTTTTTTTTTTTTTTGGTGGGGCTTGAATTCTGGGCCTGGGCTGTCCCTCAGCTCTTCAGCTCAAGGATAATGCTCTACCACTTAAGCCACAGTGCCACTTCCAGTTTTCTGAGTGGTTTATTGGGGATAGAGTCTCATGGACATTCCTGCCCTGATTCTCAGATCTCAGCCTCCTGAATAGTTAGGATTACAGGCGTGAGCCATCGGCACCTGGCTCCAATAAACATTTTAAATTATCTTTTCTCTTACAATAAGAGAAATAATATCTCCTTTCTGTAATGGCTGTATAATTATTTCATCGTAGAAATTTTTTTTAACCTTCCCCCATAGTCTTTGTGTGAGTAACCTTGAATGGACCGAAGCTGAACTTGGGACAACTATATATGGTTTCAAATAATGTTCCTGTGGACAAGGTGTCAAGACTATCATTATTCACATAAAGTTTTAAGGGCTTGTTATATCACGCGTTCACAAAAGAGGCCAGAAGTGGTGATATATATCCATAATCCTAGCTACTCAGGAGGCAGAAGTAGGATTGTGGCTCTAGTTAGTTGGGCAAAAGTGCAAGCAAGACCCTTTCTGAGAAACAAACTAAAGAAAAAGGATTGAGAGCATGATCCAGACATAGAGACTTTCTTAGCAAGTGAGAACCCCTTAGTACAATTCCAAGTATCACACACATACATAGCCACCTCAGTTCACAAAAGAAAGACATCCAGGTGCCAGTTACTGAGATCTGAGGATTGCTGTTCAAAATCAGCCTAGGCAGAAACATCCTTATGACTCTTATCTCTAATTAATCACAACAGAAGCTAATAGTGGAGCTGTGGCTCAAGTAGTAGAGTGCTAGCCTTGAGCAAAGAAGCTTGGGGACAAGGCCCGGCCCTGAGTGCGAGACTCCCCCCCCCCAAAAAAAAAAAGAAATTCTGAATTCTGAACGATGTCTCTTTTATCCTATGTTATAAATCCTCTTCCCTTATTGAATTTCAATTAGATAGTCCATTATATCCTATGTCCCCTGAAATTGTGTTCCTATTCTGTGTGCTTTACTTTGCATTATTATTATTATTATTTTGTCGGTCGTGGGGCTTGAACTCTGGGCCTGAGCGCTCTCCCTCAGCTCTTCAGCTCAAGGCTAGCGCTCTACCACTTGAGCTACAGCTCCATTTCCGGTTTTCTGGTGGTTTATTGGAGATAAGAGTTTCATGGACTTTCCTGCCTGAGCTGGCTTTGTACCAGGATCCTCAGATCTCAGCCTCCTGAGTAGCTAGGATTACAGGTGTGAGACACCAGTCCCCAGCTTGGATTAACTTTTAAAATTATTCCTTTATTGTTACGATTTTAATTAGGCCTGGGAGAAATAAGAAAATCACAAGTGCTTGGTAGTCTCTCTTGATCCAGAAATTTCAATCTTACATTCCTGGTAACTAAGGATGACTGAAATAAAAGCCATGAATGGAATCAACTAGTCAGAAAATTCTGAATGGAATTCTGTATGCACTTGTTTTAGAATAACAACAAATAGATCTCTAATATTCTTTGGATCTGAAAACACACATTAGCTTATGAGGCAAATGATGAGGGAGAAAGGAATTGCTTTTTCCTCCCCAATGATAGGGATCAAATTTAACCCAGGGCCTCAAGAATGCTAAGCAGTAAGCAATGCTACCAGTAAGCAATTCCCTGACTTGGAGAGCCAAGGAAGATATTTCAAAGACCTGATACCTCACAGATCTTATCTCTCAGTTGATATACATGGAATCTGAACATGGTTGACCTCAGTCTGTGTCGAAAAGTCAATTCATGACTCTATTTAAAAAAATACATGAGACTGGTGCTGGTAGCTCATGCCTATAATCCTAGCTACTCAGGAAGTTTGAAGCTGGCCTGGGCAGAAAAGTCCCTGTGAGACTTCTTTTTTTTGGTCAGTCATGGGCCTGGGCACTAACCCTCAGCTCTTCAGCTCAAGGTGAGCACTCTACCACTTGAGCCACAGCCCCACTTCCAGTTTTCTGGTGGTTAATTAGAGATAAGAGTCTCACGGAATTTCCTTGCCCTTACTGGCTTTGAACTCGATCTTCATATCTTAGCCTCCCGAGTAGCTAGGATTACAGGCTTAAGCCACCCAAGCTCAAATTCCTGTGAGATTCTTACCTCCAATTATCCACTCAAAAACCAGAAGTGACACCGTGACTCAAGAAGTAGAGTGCTAGCCTAGAGTACGAAGAGGCTCAGGAACAGCACCTAGGCCCTGAGTTCAAGCTCACAACCAACAAAAAACACTATATGATAGGGTTGGAGATATGGCTCAGTTGTTAAAGTGCTAGCCAATAAGCAGAAACTTAAGGTATTGAGGGTTTGTTTTTGTTTTTGTTGTTTGTTTTGCCAGTCCTGAGGCTTGAACTCAGGGCCTGGGCACTGAGTCCTACCTTTTCTGTTTGTGTGGTACTGAGAAATCAAACCCAGGGCTTTATGTATGCTAGGAAACACTTTTCCACAAGCCACATTCCCCAGCCCATCAGGTACCGAGTTTGAGTCCCATCCTTGGACCTAAGAAACAATGATTTGTATTCCAAAACACTCATACGTTAAAAGGCATATGTCTTTTAGTAGTTTTGGTTCATATAGCTGTCTCTACTCAATATAGAATATTTTCATTATATAAAAATAAACTATTAGCTAGGTGCTGGTGGCTCACATCTGCAATCCTAGCTACTCAGGAGGCTGAGATCTGAGGATCTCGGTTAAAAGCCAGCCTTGGCAGGAAACTGTGAGATCCTCAAATCTCAGCCTCCTGAGTAGCTAGAATTATAGGAATGAGCCACTGGCACCCGGCTATTAAATTTTTATTTGCAAGTATTTTCTCTTATTTTGCAATCCATTTTGAATTAGTTATTATTTTTTAAATGGTCGTGAGGCTTGAACTCTGGACCTGGGTGTTGTCCCTGAGCTCTTCAGCTCAAGGCTAGTGCTCTACTACTTGAGCCACAGTGCCACTTCAGGTTTTCTGGTGGTTAATTGGAGATAAGAATCTCTCTTGAATTAGTTTTTATGTGTAGAGTACTCTTAACAGCACTGCCAAACAAACTTTGTTTTTCCTCTGAAACAATTCAGTCTTGTTTTGTAGCCCAGGCTGGCTTCAAACTCACAGTTCTCTTACTTCTGTTTGCTGAGGGCTGGAATCATGGATATGAGCTACCCCAACAAACTTCTTTTTTAATATTTTAATTGTTTTATAAAGGTGACGTACAGGGGGTTACAGTTATACAAGTCAGGCAAAAAGTGTATTTCTCATTTTTGGCCAATGTCACACCTTCCCTTGCTCTCTCCCAGTTTTTCCTTCCCATCCCCACCACCAGCTGTATAGTTAATTTTCATTATAGCATCTAGTGAGTACCATTGCAGCATTTGTTTACCCTTTTCCCCTCTATTTCCCTTTACTCTCCCCCAAACAGATAAATGAACAAATAAGACAAAAAAGTTTTTTAAAAAATCTTTTTTCTATTTCCTGGAGTTCATTTTGATAAATATTTTTTATTTTATTTATTTTTTGTTTGGTCATGGGGCTTGAATTCAGGGCCTACGTGCTGTCCCTGAACTCTTTTTGCTTAAGGCTAGCATTCTACCACTTTGAGCCACAGCACCACTTCTGGTTTTCTAGTGATTTATTAGAGATAAGAGTCTCTGGGCTTTTCCTGCTTAGGCTGCCTTTGAACTGTGATCCTCAGATCTCAGTGAGCTATCAGTGCTGCGCCTGCTAAATACTATTTTATATGATCAGATGCACATAGGCATTGTGCCTCTGTGTTCCTCTCTAAGATATCCTCCTCTGGTCTCACTGTGAATGCCTAGAGTACTGTATAATTCATCATATCCCAGTGTATTTTAGTTTTAGCTTCCACATATGAGAGAAAACATACACAAACAAACTTTTTTTGTGTGTGTGCCACTGCACAGTTCTAAACCAAAGATGATTTTTGATCCCTAGAGAACAGTTGTCAATACCGGGAGGCACTTTCTACTGTCCCATCTAGGTGAGGGGTATGTTAGTAGCATCTGGTTGGTAGAAACAAGGGTTGCTGGTGCTAAACATCCTATAAAAAGAAAAGAAAAAGAGTCCCAAGGGCTTTCCTATCTAGGGTGGCTTCAAATTATGATCCTCAGATCCCAGCCTATTGAGTAGCTAGGATTACACTGGCACCCAGCTGTTTCCAGAACTTTTTTTTTTTCTTTTAGGTCATGGGTCTTGAACTCAGGGCCTGGACACTGTTCCTGAGCTGTTTTGCTCAAGGCTAGTGCTCTACCACTTTTAGCCAATGTGCCACTTCCAGTTTTTGAGTGATTAATTAGAGATAAAAGTCTCACAGAGACTTTTCTGCCTGGGTTGGCTTCAAACCATGATCCTCAGATCTCAGCCTCTTAAGTAGCTAGGATTATAGGCATGAGCCATCAGCACCTGGCTTCCAGAACTTTTTTTTTTAATCATTTAAACATTAAAGCCATGGAGTACTTTGAAATATCACCTAAAGATATGATAACTTATCTTCAGATTTCCAATCTCCTCTTCTTAGGTCTCATGGGAGAATGGAGGGATCTCATAAAGCTACTTCAGATACTGGATCCATCTATTTCTTTGATCAGGTAATAGTGTTGCTCTATTTCATCAAATTATAGTTATTTATTAGAAAAGCAACTCATTTTTGCATAACATTTCTTATATCTTAATTGTAAACATTTCTTTCATTTTAGTTGAAACCTAAAACCAAAAAATGGAAAAAAGAAATCTATGAGGACCAGTTTTCACACTTAACTGAAAATTATGGGTAAAATATTTGGATTCTTTAGTTTTTGTGTTACTTTATATTTGTAAGAATTTATACAATGCCCAAGAACATTGGTCTTTCATTCCCATTTCTTCCCTCATTCCTGCCAAACCAAAGAATTGCCATTTCAAACCTGACCATGAGATTAATCACTAGCTAATTATGTTAGCTATATTAGTCAGTAGTATGGTTTCCTTACTATTCTGCAACAAACCCAGCCTCATTTCTTGCTTGGGAAATTTTCACTAGATATTGCCTCTATTTTCTGCATAGTTTGCTCTTCATCCCCTTCAACTTTTTATTTAAGTAGCATGTTTGTAATGAGACTTTTTTGTTTGACAGTTATGGGACCTGAACTCTGGGCCTGGGCACTGTCCCTCAGCTCGTTAGCTTAAGGCTAGTGCCCTACAACTTGAGCCACAGTGCCACTTCTGGCTTTTTTCTGTTTATGTGGTGCTGAGGAATCGAACCCAGGGCCTCATGCATGTGAGGCAAGCACTCTACACTGAGCCAACTTCCCAGCCCTTGTAATGAGACTTTTTAAATTATCTATTTCAGATTTCTACTGTTCCTGCCATTATTAACTTTTTTGTTGTATTTATTACTTTCCAGTGTTCTAAGTGATAATACCATTTATTTGTTTATTTTTTTATTTATTTATTCTCCCCTCAAGAAAGGATTGGTCTTAATCACTTCTCTGTTCCCAGTTCTTCAAATAGTATTTATGTAGAATATGCCTATTAAAGATTTGTAGTTACCAATCATGAAATGCGTCAAAGCTCACAAAGATGAATGAATTAATGGAATTAGTCATTCCACTTTTTTATCCTATACTTGCTACATTTTCTTTTCTTCTTTTTTTTGGGGGGGGGGTCCAGTTGTGGGTCTTGAACTCTGGGCCTGGGCACTGCCCATTAGCTCTTAAGCACAAGGCGAGCACTCTACCACTTGAGCCACAGTGCTACTTCCGGTTTTCTGGTGGTTTACTGGAGATAAGAGTCTCACAGACTTTCCTGCCTGGACTGGCTTTGAACCGCAATCCTCAGATGTCAGCCTCCTGAGTAGGTGTGAGCCAACGGCACCTGGCTTTGGGATATGTCTTGAGAAGCCTGTTTGGAAACACTCAGTACTGCCTCATAAAAAAAAAGAAAATGTTATAAGCCATGTGCCAGAAATCAAGGTTTGAAGCCACCAGGGTAGGAAAGTCTGAGAGACTCTCTCTCATTTCCAATTAACCACCAGAAAACCGGAGTGGTATTGTGGCTCAAAGTGACATAGTGCTAACTTTAAGCAAAAGAGTTCAGGGACACTGCCAAGGCCCTGAGTTCCAAGCCCCACAATCGTCACTCCCCCAAAAGAAAACAACCCCAAAACAAACATTTTGTGCATTATGCATCTTTTTAATCATATTTAATCCAACAATATGAATTTCTAGAAAGAAAATTACATCATTAGTGTAAATGTTTTTAATGCTCACATATGTTCTTTACAGTCATAAGAAGAAAAAATCAAAAGAACAAAAGCTTACCAGAGTGGGTACAGTAGCTTTAATTGAGGAAAAGGATAAGTCCCATTCTCTTGGTTTCTCAGAATCTCCTAGAATGCTCAGCCTTTCTCCAAGTCCTAAACTCTCCAAAATGTACTTGCAAAAGAACCTACTTGAAGAATACAAACTAACTGCTCCTGAAATACTATATGAACTTGGGAAAACATTGCAGAAATATGCTGAGTACCAAATGACTTTTCCTGTGGGGATTGAGAATCTCATGAATTATAGTTGGCAAGATTTTACAGAAGATACTACACCTACAACACCAGAGCAAGACAAAGCTTTACACAGAGATTCCAGTTCCAGTACCATCATTGACTCGAACAATTTCAAAATCAGCAACAATCCAAAAGAAGAACTTCATAAAGAAAATCACCTGGTTAAAGCCAAAAAAGGTCTCCATGTTGTACCAAGTAAACCTTTGGGAAAAATGTGTAAGTAGAAGATATTTGTTACATTTATTAGTTATAGTCTGGGATAAATAAATAAAAGCTAGTAAGTGAAATATTGGCAAGGCAATACTTATATATTATTTTAATGTTATTGGGTTTGTGTTAATCATTCTAGTAAGTGAAGAATAATGAATAATGAATGTCAGGTACAAGAGTTCGTGGCATTTTCAATAAAAGCATCCATTAGGCTTTACCAGATTCTGCATTTTATGATGTCCTTGAGATTTTCTTCTAGCAGGAAGATTCAACAGAAATGCAATGCTGCCACAAAGATATTCTTAATCTAAACTATACTTTAAGATAATTGTACTTCCAATACAGTTATGAGAAATAACATAAAGACATGAAGAGACCCGTGGGTAATTTACCTATTTTCTCCACATAAGATCTCACAAAACTATAGCATAATATCATGTTTGAGTGCTTTCTAGTGGTTGCTATTGTTGTTTTTTATGTAGGTATTCATGGCTATAAATTTTCCTCTAAATCTTGCCTTTTCTATACCCCAGAGGTCCTGATAGGATGTGTTTTCATTAGATTCTAGGAACTTTTTTATTTTTCCTATTATTTCATATGTCATTCAACAGCATATTCAGTCTCTATGTGCTTGTGTATTTTCTGTTCTATTATTTTGCTGTTAAGCTCTAGTTTAATTCCATTATGGCCTCATAGAATGCAAAACATTATTTCAATTTTTTAATATTTGCTAAGACTTGCTTTAAGTCTTAGGATATGATCTATTTTGGAGAAAGTTCCATGGGTTGCTGAGAAGAATGTATATTGTGCCACTGCTGGATGAAATACCCTGTAGATGGTTGTTAAGTCCATTTAATCTATAGAGTCATATAATTCTAAGACTTTTTTTATTTTTTTGGTTTGGATGTTTTATGTATTCATGAGAGTGGGGTATTGAACGGTCCCACTATTATTGTGTTGTGGTCTATCAGAGCTTGTAAATCTAGAAGTGTTTGTTTAATGAACGTGGATGTGCTACTATTTGATGTATATATGTTACAAATTGTAAATTTCTTTGCATGGATCATTCCCTTTTAAATAGAAAATGACTTTCTTTGTCTTTTCTGATTGATTTTAAGTTGAAATCTATTTTATCAGATTGTTTTGTGATGCTTCTATCCTCATCCTTTCCTATTTATTTCTGTTTTTTATTTTCTTCTGTGAGTGGATTCCCTTAAGTATGTTTTGCAGTTCTGAATAGTCATGAATTACATTAGCTTTTGTCTATCCTGGAAGTTTTTATTTTTCCATCATTGTTTTGTTGAATGTTGATACTTAGCTTCACTGGGCAAAACAATCTAGGTTGGCGATTGTTGTCTTACAGGGCTTGAACTGTTTTTTTCCATGTATTCCTTAGATTTAGTGTTTGTGTTAAGAAATAGGCTCTTATTTTAATAAGATTGCCTTTTTTGTTGTTGCTGGTGGTGGTGGTGGTCATGGGGCTTGAACTCTGGGCCAGGGCACTGTCCTTGTGCTTTTTTGCTCAAGGCTAGTACTCTACTACTTTGAACCACAGTGCCACTTCTAGTTTCCCAGTGGTTAATTGGAGATAAGAGTTTCACAGACTTTCTCGTCCAGGCTAGCTTTGAGCCATGATTCTCAGATCTCAGCTTCCTGGGTAACCAGGATTAAAGGTTTGAGCTACTAATATCCAGCTTAGGCTTGTCACTTTACTTGTCATCTCTTTTTGCAGCTTCCAATATTCTTAGTTTGTTCTGTAATTTTAGTGTCTTTACTATAGTGTGTAAAAACACATTTGAAGTTCTGTAGGCTTCCATCACATTGATGGTACTCTCTTTTTCAAGATTGAGGAAATTTTCTGCAAATTTTTTTTTAATTGTGAAAATACTGTACAGAGGGGTTACAATTACATGGGCAAGATAATGAGTACATTTATTTATTTATTTATTTATTTTGTGTCCGGTCGTGTGGCCTGAACTCTGGGCCTGGGCGCTGTCCCTCATCTCTTCAGCTCAAGGCTAGTGCTCTACCACTTGAGCCACAGCGCCACTTCCGGCTTTTTTCTTTTTGCTTATGTGGTGCTGAGGAATCGAACCCAGTGCCTTGAGCATGCAAGGCAAGCCCTCTACCACTGAGCCAACTTCCCAGCCCCTTTTTTATTTATTTATTTATTTATTTTTTTAATGAGTACATTTCTTATCAAGCATTGTAGCCTCCTCCTTTGTTTCCCCTTCCCATCCCTTCCCATCCTCCCCCCACCCTACCACCCAATCTTCCTCCCCCTCCCCCCCCCACCGCATGTTTTGTTTTGGTCGGTCGTGGGACTTGAACTCTGGGCTTGGGAGCCGTCTCTGCACTCTTCAGCTCAAGGCAAGGCTCTACCGCTTGAGCCACAGCACCACTTCCTGTTTTCTAGTGGTTTATTGGAGATGAGTCTGTGCCCAGGCTGGCTTTGAATTGTGATCCTCATATCTCAGCCTCCTGAGTAGCTAGGATTACAGGTGTGAGCCACCAGAGCCGGCCTTCAGCAATTATTTTGTTGAATAGGTTCTCAATGATGCTCTACATTTTTATTTTCTTCCTTGTCAATCACCATAATTAATGATTTTGATCTTTTGAGGGACTCTGAGAAATCTTCTTTTTTGGGGGGGGTGGGTCCAGTCGTAGGGCCTGAACTCTGGCCTTGGGCGCTGTCCCTCAGCTCTTCAGCTCTACCACTTGAGCCACAGCGCCACTTCCGACTTTTTTCTTTTTTCTTATGTGGTGCTGAGGAATAAAACCCAGGGCCTCATGCATGCAAGGCAAGCGCTCTACCACTGAGCCACCTTCCCAGCCCTTTGAGAAATCTTGTAAGTGCCCTAGGTGTCTTCTAAGTGTCTAATTCCTATGCTTTACCTTTGACCTCTGATTCTCTGCTTTAATTTCATTTAAACTTCTTTATTTTTGTTTCCGTTCTGTGGCTTGAACTCAGGGCCTGGGCACTGTTCCCTGAGCTTCTTTTGCTCAAGGCTAGCACTCTACCACTTGAGCCATAGCACCACTTCCAGCCTTTTCTGTGTATGTGGGACTAAGGAATCGAACCCAGGGCTTTATGCACGCTGGGCAAGCACTCTACCACTGAGCCACCTTCCCATCTCCTAACTTCTTCTAGACTTTTGGTTGAGTTTTTTGTTTGAGCAGTTTCCAGGATTTTGATTTGTTTTTTTTTTCCCCAGGTTTCTATCTATTTATTGAATTTCTCGCCCATATCTTGCATTGCCTTCTTTAGTTCATCCAATTGTTTGTATTTTCTTGTTTGTTTGATTTCTCTTGTTTGTTCAATTTTCTTGTTTGTTGGAATTGTCTATAAATTCATGGTTTTTGTTGTTGTTGTTGTTGTTAGTCGTGGGGTTGAACTCTGGGCCTGGTCTCTGTCCCTGCGCTCTTCAGCTCAAGGCTAGTGCTCTACTGCTTGAGCCACAGCAGTTTTCTGGGTTTCTAGTGGTTTATTGGAGATAAGAATCTCATGGACTTTCCTGTCTGGACTGGCTTTGAACTGTGATCCTTAGCTCTCAGCCTCCTGAGTAGCTAGGATTACAGGCATGAGCCACTGGGGCCCGGCTAAATTCATATGTTTTTTTAAACATCTCTTTATTTCATTAACCATTCTTATCATTGTTTCATCGAGCTTATTGTTTAGACTTTCTTTTTCTTCACTCTCACTTAAGACCTTTATTGTGGTGTAACTGGTTTTTAAGGGAAGCATATTACTTTATTCATGAATTTTGTGATCTTTCTCTGGGATTTACTATTCTGGGTCCAGGATTTATTGAGACTTACTGTGCTATACATTTTCAGGGTTTTTTTTTTTGCAGCTTTGTTAAGATAAGTTGATAGCAGGATGGTGGTATGTAGATTGGCAGAGTATGTTTCTGTTGATAAATAGTTGATTTCAGTGCTTAAGACATTGTATGGAATCTTCTCCACTCGGGATGGGAAAGCTTGGTTTTGCAAGACATTACACGTAGTAAGCCACAGCCTTGTGTTTGTGGTAAGCTTTAGTGGAAACTAGTCACTTCTATTTCTCAGATCTTTTAGATGAATATAAGATCCAAGATATATTTTGGTGCTCTTGGTAGTTCTTCCTTACTAGTAGTAGGAATGAGACAGAAAGGATAGTCCTGGTGTTAGCAATCTTCAGGCACCCTTCTCTAGCCAGGAGAGCAGGATGCCAGCTCAGGACTCCTTGCCCTGTTCTTTGGTGGTTCTTTGTTTGGCTCTCTATAAATTCCTACAACTTCTTGAACTCCTTGTAGTTTCTCCTTTCTTTCTTCTTCCTTCCTCACAATCTTGTTACTTTTATGTCATTGGTGGATTCTTTACATTTACAGGTTGAAAATGGTGGCTGCTTCCAATCTGCCATCTTTCTCTTTCTCTCTGAAATCTATCTTCATTTTCTCACTTGTAAAATGAAGATGATAGAACTTAGTTGAGACAATTAAATTATATAATTCTAGGCATAATGCCTAGAATATATTGAATGTCCAATAAATATATCATGGGCACTATGAGCATTCTTTTTTTTTTTTTTTTTTTTTGGGTCCGGTCGTGGGGCCTGAACTCTGGGCCTGGGCGCTGTCCCTCAGCTCTTCAGCTCAAGGCTAGCGCTCTACCACTTGAGCCACAGCACCACTTCTGGCTTTTTTCTTTTTGCTTATGTGGTGCTGAGGAATTGAACCTAGGGCCTCAGGCATGCAAGGCAAGGGCTCTACCACTGAGCCAACTTCCCAGCCCCTGAGCATTCTTATCTATAGCCTTATTTCTTTTTTCCCTCACCATTATAATTTTTGTATTATTTATTCTAAATGCAGCATAACTGATATGGGATCCTGGACTTACATCTCTCCTACTTTATATAAAAAGTTTAAGGCCTCTGTGAGCTCTGTTTTCAAACTTTTACTTTTTCTTTTCTGACAGCTTTTAAAAGATAAATGTTTTTTTTTCCCCACAGGATACATTTACGTCACTTCATAAAATAATAAGGTTTCTTGTTTAGATTTACTTTTGTTTCTGGTGCTGGTCCTGTTGAGCCTTGAACTAAGGGCCTAGGCACTTTTTTTTTTTTGGCTCAAGTTTAGCACTCTGCCACTTGAGCCACAGCTCCACTGCTAGCATTTTTTTTGGTGGGTAATTAGAGATAAGAGTCTCACGGATTTTCCTGCCGGGGCTAAATCCTCAGCCTTCTGAGTAGCTAGGATTACAGGAATAAGCCACTGACACTCAGTTTATTTCTCAGCTAGATTTACTTACTTTTTTTTTTCTTTTTTGTAAAAAACCTTGGCAGAAAAGCAAGCAGACAAACAAAAAGGCAGAGGCATACTAACAGAATGTGGAGAACATTGAGAGAAACCTAGATTTACTTTTTAAGCACAAAACCTAGTAATATTAAAGAGGGGCCTATGTCATGACAGTTGTTTCTCTTCTCCCGTATACTAACAACAGGCTTCTGACTTTTAACCAATTGTTAAAAGAAAGAATGAAAATAAAACATGTGTTCTTTGTCAGTAATCTTTGTGTGGAATATCAGTTCTTAGGAGAGAGACATAAATGAAATAGTCATAATAAATCAAAGAATTATACAAAGAGTTTTCAATCTAAAAAGCTGATTCATATTCAGGGCAAATGGTGAAAATATTTCATGAGTTATTTTTGCTATTTATGGGAATTTTTGTTAATGTCCTGGCAAGAAATTTTTTTTGGGGGGGTGTCAGTCATGGGGCTTGAACTCTGGGCCTGGGCACTGTCCCTTCGCTCTTCAGCTCAAGGCTAGCACTCTACCATTTGAGCCACAGTGCCACTTCTGGTTTTTTGGTGGTTTATTGGAGGTAAGAGTTTCATGGCGGGGCTGGGAAGGTGGCTCAGTGGTAGAGCGCTTGCCTTGCAAGCCTGAGGCCCTGGGTTTGATTCCTCAGCACCACATAAGCAAAAAGAAAAAAGCTGGAAGTGGCGCTGTGGCTCAAGTGGTAAAGTGCTAGCCTTGAGCTGAAGAGCTGAGGGACAGTGCCCAGGCCCAGAGTTCAGGCCCCACAACCGGACCAAAAAAAAAAAAAAGAGTTTCATGGGTTTTCTTACCTGGGCTGGCTCTGAACCACAATCCTCAGATCTCAGCCTCCTGAGTAGCTAGGATTACAGGTGTTAGCCACCAGCGCCTGGCTTGAAAATAAATTATTGACTGTGATTTTCTATTGATGATAGTCTAGAAAAATGTTCGTTACCTTCTTTCTCATTTCCCTCTAACATTCTTCTTGCTTTCTTTTTCTTTTCTCTTAGCTTTTGTCAGGAATAGCCAGTCTTCCCAGATGTGCCAGGAAAGCAATTTCTCTGCTGTCATCCACTTCTCACTGTCATCCAAGATCTGTTTAGAAAATGGTAAGAACCTTTATCCACTCAAATCAGGGTAAGATCCTTTAGCCACTCAAATCAGTGTCATCTCTGATGAGCAGTCAGAGTGGGAGTCACTTATATGTCTTGTACTGCGAACTTTGCTCCAAGACATCCTTTTCCTGGAACTGAGTCAAACACCCACAGTCTGTAAGTTAAATTTTTATAGTCTTTCCTCTCTGACCCAGCCATCCTTGATTTTTGCTCCATAAGCCCTATGCGGTTTTTCTTCATGTTCTTAAGAACCAGGTTTTATGGCAATGTTGTTGTTCTTGGAACATTCTTGTTCTTAGAATACAGGCCCAGGGTCCTTACACAATAAAAACAAACAGTTTTGCTCCTTATCAGGAACAAAAGTTTGTGTGTGAAGTGGCCAACTTTTGTTCTTACCTTGGTTGTTATCAGAGACCATCCAGGGTTTTTCAAATTGAATAAGGTTATAAGGTAGATCGGATATGAGTTGTTAGGAAAAGCCAAGCTTGCTATCCTTTGGAACAGAAGATGGATATGGCATACTACAGTCAACTGCTGCATGACTCAGGGACTACAGGGAGTACTCAGGGAATGACTCAGGGAGTACAGGAGGATTGACTGCTGTGGGTCTCATAGACCTGCTTTTCATGACCTTTTATCAACTCTAAGAACTGCTGAAAGATTCTTGACTTAGAGAATGTGCTTAGGTGCCAAGTGTCCCTTTCATATCTTAATCCCAATTGCCTACCTTCTTCTCCTCCTCCTCCACCTCCCTCCCCTCCTCTTCTACTTCTTTTTTTCTTCATCTTCCTACTCCTCTTCTTCCCTATCTCTTCCTTCTTGCCCTCCTTATCCCCTTCCTTGTCCACCTTTTTTTCCCTCCCCCTACTCCCCTTCTCACTCCCTCTTTTCCTCTTCCCCTTCTTTCCCCAAACCTCCCCTGGGGATTGAATCCAGAGTCTTTAGCATGCTTTATGAGAGCTCTATCACTGGGCTATATTCCAGCTCCTCCTTACATATACTTCTGAATTGGATGTGTCAAGGGATCAGAATTTAGAACTGGCACTCTCTAACTAAGGTGGGCCAGATAGGAAATAGAGCTAAGGGCATATGCTAGGCATAAGCACAGTTAAATGTATTTTGTTATGTAGGAATTAAGTATATAAGGTATTCAGCAAGTCCAACATGAAAATGCTCAGAAATTCAAATGAAGTGGTCCAGTAACAGGAAATCTCTCAGCAGGCAATCCAATAGCAAGCCTTTTGGTAGTCACTGGTAATCTGTGAGCTTCTATTGAGCTCTCCTTTCATGACGAAGAAAATAGTTCTTGTGACTCCTAGATTCACATATTTTCTGTTTAGGAAACAAGTGATTTCTTTTCTTCCAGTTTCATGTGTCAGTCTTAGGTAATGACTCTCATTAGCTTTGATCAAGTGATACAAATGTCATTCTTGGAAGATGAAGTAATATCGTTGGTCAGACCTGGATTATTAGCTTGCAGATGGTAAAAGAACGTAATCATCAATCCAGCTTGAGCCATATGACATGGTGTGGGACTATTCTCCTAAAGAAGAGATGTCATGTACTTTCATAATCTAGGGCTAAGGTAAGGAATGGAGGTTGAAGAAAAACATGGGAGGAGCCACATTGCCCCAATGCAAAGCTTTACCTAGAGTTGTGGCTAAAATGAAGAACTTATTGCAAAGACAAAGGCCTGGAGATGGAGCATAGTATACCCATTGTAATTACACTTGAATGTTGCCTAAGTATGGAGCAAAAATTCTAGAGATAACACAAAAGTTAACAGCGTTGGTTTGATAGGAAGCCATGTTCTCCTTTCCCCCTTTCCCCCTCTCAACTTTATTATTTTTAATGCTTTATTGAATAGACTAGACTCAGTGGGATAAACTAAATAAATGGCAGGTTTTCCTCTTTCCCCAGATTTCTACCTGAAAGCTGCCTGTGAATCTGTCCACTGGGTCACTACAAGGGTAGACTTTTTACATGAGAGCTGAGAGCGGCCTTTGAGACTAGCTTATTCAATTCTCTCATTGTACAGAGGAGAAAACTGAAATCCAGAAATATTAGACACCTAAGTTCATTAGTGGGAGAATCCTAAAGAGAGCCTCTCTCCTCTATGTATTCTATCCATGGTTGGGAAGGGGAAGGGAGTGCTGAGGAATCTGATCAATAGATTTGCATGGGTTATAAAGGTTGTGGTACGACCTCAAATAATTAAGATTGGGGCTGGGAAGGTGGCTCAGAGGTAGAGCGCTTGCCTTGCATGCATGAGGCCCTGGGTTCGATTCCTCAGCACCACATAAGCAAAAAGAAAAAAGCTGGAAGTGGTGCTGTGGCTCAAGTGGTAGAGCGCTAGCCTTGAGCTGAAGAGCTGAGGGACAGTGCCCAGGCACAGAGTTCAGGCCCCACGACCAGACCCCCCCCCAAAAAAAATCAAATAATTAAGATTGCTTTGGGCTAATCTCTTTGAGGAGTGAGTGGTATGTTTTTTTGTTTTTGTTTTTGCCTGCCAGTTCTAGGGCTTGAACTCAGGGCCTAGGCACTGTCTCTGAGTTGTTCTCAAGGTTAGTGCTCTAATTGGAGTTGAGAGTCTCATAGACTTTCCTGTCTGGACTAATGTTGAACTTCTTTTTTTTTTTTTTTTGCCAGTCTTGGCACTTGAACTCAGGGCCTGGACACTGTCCCTGAGCCTCTTCATGCTTAAGGCTAGTGCTCTACCACTTGAGCTACAGACCACATTTGGCTTTTTCTGACTAGTTTATTGGAGATAAGGGTCTCACTGACCTTCCAGGCTGGCCTTGACCCTGAGCCTCAAATCTTAGCCTCCTGAATAGCTAGGATTACAGGTTACAGGTGTGACCCACCAGAGCCTGGCTTAGGAGAGAATTTTTTTTTTTTTTGGGTCCGGTCATGGGGCCTGAACTCTGGGCCTGAGTGCTGTCTCTCAGCTCTTCAGCTGAAGGCTAGTGCTCTACCATTTGAGCCACAGCGCCACTTCCGGCTTTTTTCTTTTTGCTTATGTGGTGCTGAGGAATCGAACCCAGGGCCTCAGGCATGCAAGGCAAGCTCTCTACCACTGAGCCAACTTCCCAGCCCTAGAAGAGAATTTTTTAGTGGGTAATTTATATATAATTTTCACCACTGGGTTTTGGTTCCTTTTCCATAATAGGCTTTGGTAGACTTGTGGCTTGGCATGGTTTCCCTAGTGATTATTGAGTTAGCATTTATTTTGAAGTATCCTTTTTGTGTTCAATATGTCTTTTTTTTTTTAAAGGTTGGATCTTCAATCATCCTTATTCCAAATGGGAAATTCTACAATGGAAGACACTCCTCAGTGCTGCTGTGAAGAGACTACAAGTAGCCATAATTCAAATGTAGGGAGTTCTCTACAGTCTTTACAACCATATACTCCTTCTTCTTTCCCCACCCCTGCAAGTATTTGAACTCAAAACCTTTTACTTGCTCAGCTTTGCATGCTTGGCTGATATTCTACATTCTCCAGCCAATTTTTCTGGTTATTTTGGAGCTGGAGTCTCAGAGACTTTTCTGCCCAAGCTGGCTTTGAACCTCAGTGATCTGATCTCAGCCTTTTGAGTAGCTAGGATTACATATGTGAGCCATCAGCACCCTTTTATAACCATGTGCTTTGATGAAGCATATGATGTGGTAGGCAAGAATGGATGTAGAGTGTGCATGTAGTACTTTTACTACATCAACTCATCTGCCTATTATGCCTATAATGTGAAAAACTAATGTGCATGTATGAGTGCGTGTGCATGCACACGGGTGCGCAAATACACACACACACTTTTCTCTTCCTGTTAACAATGGGAAACTCACTGTGAGAAATTATCAGGAGGAATTATCAGCCTTGGCAGGTGACAGGATTATACACCAAAATATTGGAAGCAAAGAGGGCTGAATACATAAAACAGAAGAGAAGGAGAAAAAAAGGGGGAAGGGGGCAGGGAAGATGGCTCAGTAGTAGAGTGCTTGCCTTAAATGCATGAGGCCCTGGGTTCGATTCCTCAGCACCACATAAGCAGAAAAAGCTGGAAGTGGTGCTGTGGCTCAAATGGTAGAGTGCTAGCCTTGAGCTGAAGAGCTGAGGGACAGGGCCCAGGCCTAGAGTTCAGACCCACAATCAACAAAATAAAAGGAAAGGCAAAGCAGCTGAGACCCTAAAGGTCTCAGCAACTTACCGATCAACAAAGGATAAATCAAAACAATTATATGGCTTTGGTAATAGTAGGAACCATTGACAAAGTACTGAGTGCTAGATGGTGGGCCTGATGCCTTTCCTCACAAAAGCCCCATGGGAAGGATGTGATTATCATGTTCATTTTATGATGAGAAAATGAGCATACTATAAAATGTAGCATACTATAAAATGTTTATAATCATGCAGCTACAAAAGGCAAAGTGCAACCCAAAAGGAACACAACCCAGACTTATCTGACTCTAAAAGTCAATTTATTACCCACCATAACTTGTTTCTGTTGTTTTTTACCTAACTTCCAATATGGAATAACTATGTTGTTTTTAGAGGTGTATTTTACACACTCAGTTTTGTTTTTGTTTTTAATTTATAAATGTCAAAGAAGGGCCTGATGGTTTATGCCTTTAATCTCACCTACTTGGGAGACAGATCAGGAGGGTGGCAATTTGAAACCATCCCAGACAAATAATTTAGGGGCGTTTCAACTCAACAAAGAAGCTGGGTATCGTGTTACACACCTATAATCACAGTTACTCAGAAAGCATGTATTTATTTATTATTCTCATATTGATAGGAGAATTCAGTTTAGGCTAACTTAGGCATAAATATATGACCTTGTCTGAAAAATAACTGTAGTAAAATGGTCTGGTTAGTGTCACTCAAGTGGTAAAGTGTCTGCCTAGCAAGCACAAAACCCTGAGTTCAAAAAAAATCCGTGTTATAAAAAAATTTGAACCATTTTCCTGTTGCTGAACATTTACATTTATACAACTGTCTTAAACATATGTATGTGTGTGTGTGTGTGTGTGTGTGTGTATATATATATATATATATATATATATATATATATATATACACATATATATAGCTAGATTACTAGAATTTTAGTGGTATTTGCTAAGAAGTACATGAACATTTTTAAGGCTCTAGAGATGTACTGCCAATTTTCTCTTCATTGAAACCAGGCCAACTAACTCTATGGCATTTTGTAAGTAGGCCCATCTCACCATTATTCTTAGCATTAAATGGAGTTATTATATTTAACTTTGAAAAATTGATAGAAAAAAGTTACTCGGTTGAGCTGTGCATAGGTAGGTAGCTCATAATTGTTCTAAGTAGTTGGAAGCTGAGAATGGCGGGATCAAGGTTCAAGACCGACCTGTGCAGAAAAGTTTGCAAGACCCCTTCTCAATCCATAACTGGGCACAGTGGAACTCACCTGTCATTTTACCTTTGTCGAAGGCTGAAATAGAATTGAGGTTCCAGCCCAGTCCTGGGCAGAAAAGTCAGAGAAATTCTGTCTTAAGAGAAGCTGGGTATGGAGGTTTGTACCTATCATTCTATCTATATTGTGAAGCTTGAAACAGGCATGCTGTAAGCCAGGTGAGCATCTGGGCAGGAAGTGAGAACCTATCTTGAAAATAACTTGCACAAAAACATGCTACTGCACTTGCCTAGCAAGCATAACGCCCTGAAGTTAAAACCTAGTACCGCAAAAAAAAGAAAAAAAATAAGACTTGTTGAGTATCAATTTCTTTGCTAATTGGAGGAAGTTTTTGTTTGTTTGATTTTTTTTTTTTTTTTGATGCTGCACTTTGAAATCAGGGCCTGAGCACTGTTCCTGAGCTTCTTTTGTTCAAGGCTAATGCTCTAACACTTGAGCTGCAGTGCCACTTCCAGCAGTTTTTGGTGGTTAATTGGTGATAAAAATCTCATGGACTTTTCTGCACAGGTTGGCAACAAAACCATAATCCTCAGATCTCAGCCTCCTGAGTAGATTGGATTACAGGTGAGGAGGTTCATTTTTGAGTTTTTCTTTATCTATTAAAAACTTTCTACTATGGACCAGGTAGACCTAATTTCTACTACCTTGTACATTTTACTGCTTTATTTCTACTAAAGATAAGAATTTTTTGTTATTTTATGGCAAATATTCAATTGCTTCTTAACCCATAGATGGTTTAACTTTATTTTTGTACACCTGTCAGTTTTATTTTAAGAATTTTCCTGTTGTTTCATAATTAGAGAAATATGTCATTGTTTTGAGATGAGATAGATCTACCCTATTTTTTTTTACCCTACTTTTAATTTCTTTCTTTTTTTTTTGTCTGTCATGGGCCTTGAACTTTGAGCTTGGATTCTGTCCTGCAGCTCTTCAGCTCAAGGAGACTGCTCTACCACTTGAGCCACTGCTCCAATCCAGTTTTCTGGTGGTTAATTGGAGATAAAAGTCTCACAGACCTTCCTGTGTGGGCTTGTTGGAACCACGATCCTCAGCCCTCAGCCTCCTAAGTAGCTAGGATTATAGGCCTGAGTCACCAGCACCCAGCTTTTGATTTCATTTTTATTATTTTTTCTATATTTAACGGAGAATTGTGTATGATATGAAATAAGTTGTTTTTTTTCTGTTGTTGTTTGTTTTTCGGTCATGGGGCTTGAACTCTGAGCCTGGGCACTGTCCCTCAGCTCTTCAGCTCAAGGCGAGTGCTCTACCACTTGAGCCACAGTGCTACTTCTGTTTTTTTCTGGTGGTTTATTGGAGATAAGAGTCTCATGGACCTTCCTGTGTGGGCTAGCTTTCAACTGTGATCCTCAGATCTCAGTCTCCTGAGTATCTAGGATTACAGGCATGAGCCCATTGGCGCCCGGCTATGAAATAAGTTTTATTCTTCCTTTTCCAATGATAACAATTGCCAATAGTGCCAATATGAGAGTGTCAATAACTTATTCTTCCTTTTCCAATGATAACAATTGCCAATAGTGCCAATATGAGAGTGTCAATAACTATAGCTACAGTTTATAAAGTAAAATGAACACACCTCTAGATGTTGGGTGTTTGTTTTGGAATTTATTTATTTTTAGATTAGAGAGCTACTAAGAGAGCTACTAAGTGGGAGAACTACTATATTAGCTGTAGGATATCTGTTCCCAATGCCTGTGCATTTAGCCACAACACTATTATCTCCAGAGTCATTTACTCTGTTACCCAATAATTTGAGTTCTCAGCTTCATCATATTTCACTCTTGTGCAGATTGTCTTTAGTTGTTTTAATTATTCAGATTATATAAAGGAGAGAGGCACTCAGATCATAATGATAGAAAAAGGGCCTTGAAGTCCAACTGATTAAACTAAAATCCCAGCTCTGTCAACTGACTTAATTTCCTTGAGCCTCTCTTTTCTCTTCTATAAAATGGTAATAATAATAGTAGCTACCATTTAGAGTTACTATAAAGATCCCTAACATAAGTACCATCTAATAAATGTTAGTTATTACTATCTTAATATCTGTACAACAACTTCAGTCTGGCTACTCTTTATATATTGAAAGCACCTTAGCCATTTTCACCGGTTTATTCTTCCAAGTGATTTTGAAACTAGTTTTTCAAGTTTATTTTTTATTTTATTTTATTTTTTTTTGGGTCTGGTTGTGGGGCCTGAACTCTGGGCTTGGGTGCTGTCCCTCAGCTCTTCAGCTCAAAGCTAGTGCTCTACCACTTGAGCCACAGCGCCACTTCCAGCTTTTTTCTTCTTTTTTTTTTTTTTGCTTATGTGGTGCTGAGGAATTGAACCTAGGGCCTCATGCATGCAAGGCAAGCGCTCTACCACTGAGCCACCTTCCCAGCCAAGTTTTTCAAGTTTAAAGACTCCAAAGTAACAAAAAAAGTGGTATATTTTAATGAAAAGAAAACCAGACTTCCAAGGAAATGTGTGTGGGTTTTCTGGACTTTCTGCTTGGTTTTACTGTGAGCCTAAACTCTTTAGGAAAAAATAAGATCTCTTGATTTTCTCTGAAAGAAAAAAATCATCAAAGTTGGAGCCAGAACACTAAGGACATTAGTCAATGGGTGTGGGGTCTTGTGTAAGTCATCCCGTGGCCTCTCCAAACCTCATGCTGTTAAGGGATAATAGCATGTCTTCTGTTTGCTGTAGCAGCCTGTTGTAAACCTGAAATCAGCACACTATCCATAAAGTGTTCCATAGAAACTAAAGGACTCGGGGCTGGGAAGGTGGCTCAGTGGTAGAGAGCTTGCCTTGCATGCATGAGGCCCTGGGTTCGATTCCTCAGCACCACATAAGCAGAAGAAAAAAAGCCAGAAGTGGTGCTGTGGCTCAAGGGGTAGAGTGCTCGCCTTGAGCCGAAGAGCGCAGGGACAGTACCCAAGCCCCACGACCAACCTAAATAAATAAATAACACACGCAGCCAGATCTGAGGGGGCACACCTGCAATCCCAGCACTCAGAAGGAGGAGGCAGGAGGATTTCTAGTTTGACCCAGCCTGGGTGATATAGAGACATAGAGAGGTTCTCTCCTTCCCCCTCTACCCTTGACACACAGAAAAGAAGGAAGATTAGCTGGAAGGATGGCTCAAGTAGTAGAGTGTCAGCAAGCACAAGACTGAGTTCAATCACTAGTACTGTCAAAAAAAGAAAAAAAGAAAGGAAAAGAGGGAAGGATAGACGAAGGAAGGGAGGTAGAGAAAAAAAAGAAAGGGAAGGAAGGAATTAAGAGAGAGAAAGAAAGAAAAAGAAGGAAGGAAGGAAGGAAAGAAGGAAGGAAGGACAAAGAAGGGAGAGAGGGAGGGAAAAGGAAATGTGAGAAAAGGAAGAAGGAAGGAGGAGGAGAAGGAAGAAAGGGAGGAAGGAAGGATGGAAAAAGAACATATGCAGCTTTACAGTATGTGGTTACAAATACTTCTGTAAGAAAACCAGCTAAATTCCAACATTCCCTCGGTTTCTGACATTCAAGATGCCTTTGAGACTAATGAATGCTTGTTGGAAGGAAATGTGCTTACTTGTACACAAAACTTTCAACTTTCTTATCCTGCCACATATTTTCAAAACAGAATAGTATAGAAGTTTAATGTCATCAGACCTATGGAAACAGGAAAAAAGACAGAATCTTCTGTAACCCGAGTGTACAGTGGAATTAACTATGTATTTATCATAGAAAGTCTGGTCTGATAAAATGTTCCAGACTAGATCCAAGATGCCTCTTAAAGTAGTGCACTTTCCAGACAGTGTTCTTCCTTCTTCTTTTCTTCTTTCCCTTCCTTCCTTCCTTCCTTCCTTCCTTCCTTCCTTCCTTCCTTCCTTCCTTCCTTCCTTCCTTCCTTCCTTCCTTCCTTCCTTCCTTCCTTCCTTCCTTCCTTCTCCTCTTCTCTTGTTTTTTAAAACTTTTTAAATTTAATTTAATTTTTACTGGTTCTGGAACTTGAACTCAGCCTGGGTGCTGTCCGTGAGCATCTTTTGCTCAAGGATAGTGTTCTATCACTTGAGCCGCAGTACCACTCCTGGCTTTTTCTGTGATTAATTAGAGATAAGAGTCTCATAGACTTTCCTGTCTGGGCTGGCTTTAAACCACAATTCTCAGATCTCAGATTCCTGAGTAGCTAGAATTACAGGCATGAGCTACCAGTGCCTGGCTTTTTAAAAAATCTGAGACCTAGACTCAAACTTAGTATCTCACACTTCAGCTCATTCACTAACACTGTATCACCTCAGTCATGCTTTCCAGGAGTATTTATAGAGTGCATACTATTACTGGGGTCTATGCACAAAAGTTTCTGTGTGGTTTTCAGAGAATTCTTACATTTTTATAAGGTACTATGATTTTCAGTCATGGTAATACCACAAAAGCCACTGAATCATGAGCCAAATGTGACCAAGGAATTAGCCATGTCTTGAATTCTTTTCTTTTGAACAGAAAATCAGAAGAAGCTAAGCTTAAAAGAGAAGGATTCAACAAACAACTGATTCTGCGCCATTATAACGACCCAGAACAGGAGGAGATCAGAAGTTCCCCTCAAAGTTCTCAAAGCTTCTGGCTGCAGCTGCTGGAGAAGAAGCCTCAGATGCCTACTGTCAGAGAGGTTGACCCAGAAAAGAAGAAATTCCACTATGCCCTGGTAGATGGCTCCTCTCTGATCTAATATCCTTGTCAAACTCTGTAGGTGAAGTTGAAGGTGGCAGAATGTGGAGGATAGGGCTGACAAACAGAGGTTTCTATCTCACAGAAGGCAAATCCCAGGAAGCATCCTTGGGTGTTATGTTTGGTCATTTCCTCCTAAGTGTCCATATTCCCTCATGCTGAAGTCAACCTGAAAACTAATTAGAGAAAGTCCCCTCTTTCAAAACTTTCCTTCTTCCTCAGTCCTTGACAGTTTCATTAAGAGTCTGAGAAAATGAATTCTCTTTGGTTCACTTTTCTGATTATGTAAGAGAACATAGGATTTAGCATGTAAAGAACCTAGTTTAGGAGTTGGAGTCATGACTCAGGTGGTAAAGTGACAGCCGATGTGTGAAAGCATGTGTCAGATAACAAGTTTGAGCCCTGATCTCAAATAACAACAACAAACAAACAAAAAACAACAATAAAAAAACCTAGTTTAGGGAGAAGGGGGAATTTTTTTTGGTAATTCATTCCTACATATCCAAAATGGAAAATTTGTATTAACACTTAATAAAGTTGATGTTTAATTGTGTGTTAAATGTTGATTTGTATATGGTGTAAGATTATTTCCAGATCCATAATTATTCCTCAGCCCTCATCAGCCCCCATCTATTTCTAGATATTGGTAGGAAGGCCTGACCCTACTGCTCTGTGTTGGCTAATGTCATAGACAGTATTAGGTAGCAACAGGCAGCTTTGGTTTTCAGTGATTATCAAGATCAATCGGACAAAACTCTGTTATTCACAGATTTGTTTAAAATAATCTGGAACTAATGTGAGGGTACAGGATTGTGAATTTGTGTGACGATCATGCAACCTAGAGTTAGAAAGCTGTGTGCTAGTCTAACCCTACCATCATCATACTCAATGACTATGGAAGAGAGTCTCTTTCTCTGGATCTGCTGCCCTATCTGATAAGAGTTGATTAAAAATAGGAGAGAGAAAGTACATCTTTCTATAGAATAATAATCATTAGTATTATTGTTGTCAATGCCAGTTCCTTAACTTGGGTTTACCTATCCATCTGGCCGCCTAGCTGTCTGCCAAAGCTATTCTGATCTCCCTTGGGGTGGTATGTCCACCAACATATTCAGTGACTTACCAGATTCTGTTATCTTGGGAACCTTTACACCTTCTGGATGTGGTAGTATTTCCTTTCCTAACAGGTATGTGGGATTCCATAAAAACTACAATTCATAGATAAGCAAAGTGGTGAGGGAAAAGTAAAATACTAACAAAAACAAGCACACGAAAGGAATCTTGTACAACATCAATCTAAATGGAAAAGAAGGTAAGAAAAATTTTTTTAAAAATGTGTATTCAAAGCTATGACTTGCAAATTGGTACTGGCCAAATATCTATTATTCTCAGTCCAGTTGTGCCATATTTGTGGGAATACTGTGGAAGATGAGCAGATGGATGTCAAGGGCCCAAGTTAACACAGGCTAGGAACAGAAGCAAGGAGATGGTTTTGCTGAATCAGGTGTCATCTTGGCATTTGTGCCTTTTTTTTTTTTTTTTTGGTAGGTCATGGGGCTTGAACTCTGGGCCTTGGCGCTGTCCCTCAGCTCTTCAGCTCAAGGCTAGTGCTCTACCACTTGAGCTGCAGTGCCACTTTCAGTTTTCTGGTGGTTTATTGGAGATAAAGAGTTTCACAGACTTGCCTGCCCAGGCTGGCTTTGAACCATGATCCTTAGATCTTAGCCTCCTGAGTTGCTAGGATTACAGATATGAACCACCAGCACCTGGCCTCTGTGCCTTTTAAGGACTTCTTAACTGGGTAATGCAAAGCTCACATCTTCCTCATGTTTTCTGTAATATTCTTCGGGTTTATGATCTTGGGATTTCCTCTGGTTTTGCCATCCTGCCTTCTTGGAATCTTGTTTTCCATTCTGTCTTAAATCTGCGGGTTCATTTTGGTTCTCATTTGATTTCAACTAATGAGAATTTGCTCCTTTCCATACTTTTAACACATAGAAACCACTCACCAGAGACGTCAATGAACTGCATTTCTCAATGATGTTGGTTATGAAGATTTAGAACAGTAATAGAAACAACATATACAGAATGTAAGCTGTGCTTAATGTTCTTAAAAGTGTATTGGGTATGTTGTCAATGTCAGTTCCTTAACTTGGATTTACCTATCCATCTGGCTGCCTAGCTATGTGCCAAAGCTATTCTTACTGTTCTAAAATATTGTCTAGTATTTCACATTTCTCTTTTCTCGACATTTCTGTTTTAAGTGCCCATTTCTTCCTCTCAGTCCACACCTCTCTTCAAGTAGTTTCCAATTTCTTATTGAACATAAATCCATCTCTTGATAGTTATACACGCTAACCAGCTAAATTATACCTAGCTAGCTTCTCTAAGGTGGAGGTAGGGGTTGAGGAAAAAAAACAAAGGAAGACAGGATGGTATGCCTTCAGCCAAACCATTAATTTGCCATGCTATATTTGATTACCCACACATTTCACTCTTTCCTTTAGTAAATGTTTATTGAGTATTTATTCCATTCTAGACAATTATAATAGAGAGTACTATGAGGTATGGTTCCTATTTAGCAGGAACTGTGTTATAGGACAACTTAAAAGACAAAAAAAAAAATCAGAAATGTTGAAATACAAAGTGATCTGTACAAGATTTTGCATCCATTGGTTCAAAATCTTCATAGAGTGCCTAATAGTATGGGCACTGTGTAAGCATCATATATATGGTAGAGAACCAAACAAAGTTCCTGTCCTTGTAATAACTTACATATCAGGGATAGAAGACCAAGTAAACGAGTTTATATTATATCATGTGAGAGGCTTTCAGTGGAATAAGTCATCATGTGTATAAATTCACCCTCCATAATTGCTGAATTTGACTTTCTTGAATGATCTTCAATCCTATATCTTTATAGCCTCTGTATTTTTACTTGATGTGGCTTCAGGATGATGGGTGTTGAGAGAGCAAGAATTTTTTTTTCATGCAGAGAGCAAGAATTTTTCTTAGCGAGTTTATAAATATACATTGATATGTTTCTGCTGCATTCAGCATTTCCTGCATGCTGACCATGCTTCTGTGAAAGTTCCTTCCCACCCCCACCCCCACTGTTTGTGAGCCAAGTCACCTGTCAAAATGTGTCAGCACCTCACCTGTGAAGAGAGAGCAAGTCAGCAAAATGTTAAAAAAAAAAAAGTGCTTGATTCCAAAGAGAAAAACAAGAGAGTGAGAGGAGAGAGAGAAAGAGAGAGTAATGCTTGATTACAGAGAGAGAGGGGAGAGAGAGAGATTAATAAGGTAGCAAAACAACTGGGTGAACCACATGTAAGTACCTGCCCTCAGTGTGGAAGTAATTTTCCCATCTTTGATGCTCAGATGAAACAATGACAGGATCTGGAATCATTTCAAAGGCTTAGAAACTACTTACTTTTAAAAGGTCTTTTTGTTTTCCAACCACACTAAGCAGTTTTGAAAGAAAAATTAGGCAACTTGATATAACTTTATGACATGTTAATTGAACATTTTATTCAGGAATGCTGAAGACAAAGTGGAAAAGTAATCGTTTCCCTAAGAACAAATGTATTTCACTTGATTTTCCAAGTATTGTTAAAATTAGTTTTTCTTTTTCTTTTTCTTTTTTTTTTGGGGGGGGGGGTCTGGTCGTGGGGCCTGAACTCTGGGCCTGGGCACTGTCCCTCAGCTCTTCGGCTCAAGGCTAGCGCTCTACCACTTGAGGCACAGCACCACTTCCAGCTTTTTTCTTTTTTTTGCTTATGTGGTGCTGAGGAATCGAACCCAGGGCCTCAGGCATGCAAGGCATGCACTCTACCACTGAGCCACCTTCCCAGCCCAAAATTAGTTTTTTTGAACACAAGTTCTGTGAGATTGATCAAAATATCTAATCTTGATTAATTGCTAGTATCATTTTGAGAGAGAACTCTTACATTTTGTTTAAATTTACAAGAAATTCTGTGATTAGGTATAATTTCCAATGAGGAAACTGAATCTCAGAGAAGAGCCTTGAAACTGTATCTGAAGGCTACGTAGTAGCAAAGAACATTGAAAGCTTTTAGTCCCTGATTCCAATTCTTTTTCCCTTGCTAAGTCTTAATACATGAGGGAAAGAGAGGTCTAGTGCTGAGTACATATAAGCTGAGTAATAATGAGTCATGGTGATAATAACAATAATGTGATTATGAGCGTGGGTTTTGGCGTTAGACAACTTACGTATCTGACTGTTGGCTGGAACAACAGGGAAAATGTGCCAAGTGTCTTGCGGTCTGCCTCCAGGCTGCTCCCCATGGTGGATGGATTTGAAAAGTAGCAAGAGTGATGAACCCAGTTCATAAGCACTTTTCAAGCCTCCTGTAGTACCAAGTTTTCTAGTAAGTCTTGGCTAAGGTAACATAACTCAGTGGTTAGAAAAATAGATACTTAGTCTTCTTGAAAGATGCTGGAAAATATTACAGACTTTTCATATTTTTAATCAACTGCAAAGGAAACACCAAATTCAAATTAGTTGCCCCCTCTCCTCCTCTGTATTTACCACCTCTAATTCTATTTTGATTCATGTATCATACATGGACTTTGAAAAGGATAAATATATAGAAGATGGATGATTAGGCTAGGGTTAGTCTATTAATCATAACTATTTCAAAACTATTGATGAAAACTTGTAAGGATCAGTTATCTTCTCTCTCCTGGTTCTGGCCCAGATATTTTAAAATTCTCATTTGGAATTCTCATATTCTGACTTGTTTCTTCAGTGTGTACTGGTATATCTGGATCAGCCACTTTCTTGTATCTCAAATCTCAGTTCTAGCACCTGTAACTACTCACAAAATTTAGCTACTCTGAAATCCATATATTTTTGTCTTAATCTGCTTTTGATTGCTAAAACAGAAGAACTGAAACTAGGTAACATGGCTCAGGGTTCTGGAGACTGAGATGTCCAAGATCAGATGGCTGCATCAAGTGAGGTCCTTATGCTGCTTCAACTTGTGGCAGAAAGCAGAAGAGCAAGTGAGCATGTGCAAAAGAGACAAAACACAGTGTGGCCTTACTGATGTAACTGGCCTTAGGGTAACTAATCTAGTCCCTGAAAATGAGAACTCACTCTTGGAATAAAGGCATTAATGTAATTATTTCCTTCTGGGCTCCATCTCCCACACTTTCACATTGAGGAATTAAGAAGGTGGCTGGGAAGGTGGCTCAGTGGTAGAGTGCTTGCCTTGCTCCTTGAGGTCCTGGTTTGATTCCTCAACACCACATAAGCAGAAAAAGCTGGAAGTGATGCTGTGGCTCAAGAGGTAGAGCACTAGCCTTAAGCTGAAGAGCCCAGGGACAGCTCCTAGGCCCAGAGTTCCAGCCCCACAACTGACCAAAAAAAAAAAAAAAAGAATGCAATGTGCTAGTTTTGAGGGACCCACTCAAATCTTACCAACTGCTTAAAAGATACCGAATTCTGACTGGTATTATAGAGGGAGGATCCCACACATTCAGAACTTTCTGGAGATGTGAATTCATGTGTTTGCTACAATGTCTGTTTATTAGAAATTGGTCTTTGTAATGATGGTAGGAGTAACTTAATGGATTTCCTCAGTTATAGGCCGAGTGTTGTTTTATTAAATACGTCTCCCTCTTAAAACTGGATGATGATGCTTTTCTCCACAGGCAAGTTTGTAGCATAGAATTTGGGGTTAACAGCTCTCCACTTGTCACATCCATGTGTTTTACTATTAAATCCTTTATGCTACCTTCCATATAAATTATAGTATAGTAATAGTTTGTATCAACATGGAACTTGGTGACTGAGCATTTTAGAAGGTCCTGCCTGTTCTGGCACCTTTCCCCCTTCATTTCTTATGACTCACCCTTTGTGTGTGGCTTCCATCTTTATAACCACTATGTACAAGTTGTTCTTGTAACTGAAAGCTCATATCCGGACTCTTCACATGACTGCTTTCTTTTCATCTTTTAGGTCTCAGTTTAAATGTCACTTCCCTGGAGAAATTTTTCCTACTTTCCTTTTTTAATTTTAAACAGCTTTATTGAGATGTACATTTCATAAAATTCACCCACTTAAAGAATACAGCTTAATGTGTTTTTTAAGCATTTGACAAAATTGAGAATATTTGCAGCATCCTAAAAGGGAACTGTGTATAAAACAGCAGTCACTCACTAATCCCCACCTCTACCCAATACTTCACCTTCTCCTTCTAGAGATTTACCTATTCAGGTTTCTCTTTCCTAAGATTTTTTTGGGCTCTGTTCATTAAAGATTTGTCCATTCTGCACATTTAATATAAGTAGAATCATCTTTTGTGACTAGCCTGTTACTTGGCATAATGGTTTCAGAATTCTTCTGTGTTATACCAACTATCAGTATTTAATTTCTTTCTTTCTTCTTTTTTTTTTTTTTTCTGTTGGTCCTGGAGCTTGAACTAAAGGCCTAGGTGCTATCCATGAGCTTTTTCACCCAAAGCTAGTACTCTACCACTTTGAACCACAGCTCTAGTTTTCCAGTTTTCTGGTGGTTGATTGGAGTGTCATGGACTTTCCTGACTGGGCTGGCTTTGAACCACAATCCTCAGATCCCAGTCTCCTGAGTAGCTAGGATTATAGGTGTGAACCACTGGTGCCTGATCAGCAACTTGTCTGGTTAATTGGAGATGGGGGTCTCAAGAATTTTTTTTGCCAGGCTGGTTTCCAACTGTGATCTTCAGATCTCAGTCTTCATGAAACCAATGGGGAATTGTAAAATTTCCTTTGTTCCTCTGAGGTGGTGGTTTTGCTCATTTTTCCCCTGACTTCTTTGGTAATAGTAATGAAGCAGATAACTATTTCATCATCAGAATAAACTATCATAGGACTGAAAATGTCTGAGTACCGAGACAGCATCTCCTTCCAGACATCCTTGGAGTACTTAAACAGTCTCTAATAACTATCCACTGTATTTTTATTTATATTTTGTCTCCACAATTTTTTTGGGGGGGTCCGGTCTTGGGGCTTGTACTCTGGGCCTGGGCACTGTCCCTCAGCTCTTCAGCTCAAGGCTAGCACTCTACCACTTGAGCCACAGCACCACTTCCGGCTTTTTTCTTTTTGCTTATGTGGTGCTGAGGAATCGAACCCAGGGCCTCAGGCATGCAAAGCAAGTGCTCTACCACTGAGCCACCTTCCCAGCCCATTATTTATATTTTGTCAATGCAATTGATTTTGCTGATACTATTCAACAGATCTTTAAAAAGCTTCTTCTCTGTTCCAGATGCTGTCCAGGTTAAAAAAAAAAGACCAAAGACGATATGGATATGAACACATAGTGTAGCACAACTGATCCAGAAAAGCTAGCAAAGTGCTAGGCTACACTGATAGACATATAGAATGTAGGAGAAGCAAAATCAGTATTTCCTTTTCTTCACAATACAAATTCTTTCTGTCAAAATTTAAAATGTTGTTTGTTTGATCTTTTTATACAGAGTCTTGGCATATCAGGTAGTGTTGCTTTGTTTTGTTTTAATTTTTTATGGTGATAAGGATTATACCCAGGGCTTTAAATATGCTAAAAATATTCTACCACTGAACCATATCTTCAGTCCTCTTGAATTCACACATGTACATCCATCTATCTCATCCAAGCTTTAGTCCAAGCCACTACTTTCTCGCCTGGACCACTTAACTGCTCATGACCAGTAAATACCAGAAGGTATTTACTCAGGTTCCTCAACAACCCATTTGATCATCACATTGTAGCTATTATTATTAAAAACCCTTAGATATCTTTTTGCTTTTTAGATAGAAATTATGATTTTGCATAGGGTTTCTTCATATTTAGCTAAAGATATGAAGTGATTATCAGTCCCTACAATCTCCATTCTAGCCACACTGGCTTTCTTTCACTCCCTTCAGTGAGCAGTGCCAACTTCCTTCCTCATGACCTTTTATGCAGATTATCACATCCATTTGGAACTCATTTTCTGGTCAAATGCCTAGTCCTAATTTAATCAGCCACAGCCAAGGTAGCAGGGCCATGTGGTATGGTAATCACGTTGGAAGGACTCATTTTTATGACCTTATACATGGCAGTGATGAAGTGGGAAAGGTTATGCCTCTGAGAAGGGAATCTTGGCCAGTTGAACGAGTAAACACCATTCTTCCCTCCCAGGAAGATATTAGGACAGAAGCAGAATGGCTATCCTCCAGGAATATAATTTAAGAGATTCCTGGGCTCTTAAAGGCTACGTCTTGGTAATTTTCATCATCCCAGCCAAATCAATAAACCCTGAATTTTTCATGTGCTAAGAAAGACTCATTTCTGTCCTTTTCATAGGAAAATAATAGCAATGATGTTTAATCAGAATGGAGGCATGGTGATCAGCAGAAAAGGACACATCATGAGAGAATGGATGTGGCCTTCAAAGGGAAAACTTGAAGATCCAGTTGAAGTTGGGGTATAATTTTACAATTTATTTATCACTCTTGGATTAATTCTTACATTGTGATGACAATTTACTTTGAGTTTCTTTTTTTTTTTTGGGTCCGGTCGTGGGGCCTGAACTCTGGGCCTGGGCGCTGTCCCTCAGCTCTTCAGCTCAAGACTAGCACTCTACCACTTGAGCCACAGCGCCACTTCCGGCTTTTTTGTTTTTGCTTATGTGGTGCTGAGGAATCGAACCCAGGGCCTCAGGCATGCAAGGCAAGTGCTCTACCACTGAGCCACCTTCCCAGCCCCTTACTTTGAGTTTCTAAAATGCACTATTATGGGAAAATATGAGACTGAATTACCCAGTATGGGCTATCTGTTTAGAGCTGATGTAATGAATTTTTTTTTTTTTTTTGTCGGTCATGGGGCTTGAACTCTGGGCCTGGGCCCTGTCCCTCAGCTCTTCAGCTCAAGGCGAGCGCTCTACCACTTGAGCTACAGTGCCACTTCTGGTTTTCTGGTGGTTTATTGGAGATAGGAGTCTCACAGTCTTTCCTGCCCGGGCTGGCTTTGAACCGCGATCCTCAGATCTCAGCCTCCTGAGTAGCTAGGATTACAGGCGTGAGCCACCAGCGCCCGGCTTGATGTGATGAATTTTTATTTTGGCCCTTCATTTCCCATAGCCTTTCTTAATGACTGACTTTACTCAGCAGCAGTTGGTTTAAACAGCAATTAAAAAATTATTAGAAAAGTTTTTCAGATTTTGATATAAAAATAATTTTAATGTAGCAAAGTGTACTATTCTATAAAGGATTAATTATTATAACCTCAGAGAGTGTAGAGTGACCTTGCAGGGTGCACCTGTGCCAAACTGGAAAGTGTAGCATTTGAAGGAAGCAGCCTTATTAGAGGGCCAGAAGACGTGTGACAAGGGACTATGTGCCTAATGTTGCTATATTTATTATAAAAGAAAAAATCAGAATTTCAGATTTTTTAAAATATCCTGCTATTTGAAAAATTGGAAACAATTGAAACTTTGAGACAATTAAAGCGAACTAAACTAGATGCCTTTGAGCTGTCAGTCTGTAACTTCTGTGCTTTTTGATCAATGTATAGTTACTGTGTATGTGTATGTGTGCGCATGTGCATGTGTGTGTGCATGTGTGTTGTGTTTTATGTGTGTATACAAAATGAGCTACAATAATCTAGGGCATGAGGTCTGGTTGTGTAGATGATTCAGTGAACAATCAGCCGTCAGGGCATCATCTATGCAAAACTGATGTCTATTATGACAGCTACCAACTACTCTTGTTACTGACCCTTGAAATATGTCATAAAATGCAAACCAAATTTCCAAGGCTTAGAAAAACAGAATATAAAATATCTTAATAATTTTATGTGTATTACATGTTAAAAGGTATTTGGATGTATTTACTTGTGAAATATGTTATTAAAGTTTTCTTGTTTTTTGTTCTTCCTAATGGGTCTACTACTAGAAAAATTTAAGATTACGTGACTCAGATTTGTGACTTGCCTAATATCTCTATACTAGGAAGTATCCTTATCAATTTTTATGGAGATCAACATCTAGGTCTTTTTCTTACAATTTACCCAATCTTTTTGGTGATCATATGCCCTATATATATTTTTCTTTTTACTTGTCTGTTCTCTTTCTTTCTTCCTTTCTTTCCCTCTCTCCCACTTTTTCTTCCTTCTTTCCTCCTTTCCCTTCCCTTCCTTCTCTTCTTCTTTCCTTCCCTCCCTCCCTTCTTTCCTTTCTTCTCTCTCTTCTTCCTTCATCCTTTCCTTCCTGCCTGCCTGCCTTCTCTATGTAGTCCTGGATCACCATCCTCAAATTGGCCATCCTCCTGCTTTAGCCTCCTGAATGCTTGCAATATTTTTTAAGTACTGTTCAGTCTGGAGGGAGAGAAGAGTAAAGTGTTGGTAAGAAACAGTGCCAGGAAAGGTTCTTTATGAAAATTTCCTTACATTCTGAAGTCAGAATTTCCTCAGTCCTCATAGCTCCCTAGCAAAGTCAGAATTGCTATTAGAGTACATTATTCAGATACTTTCAGCCAGTACCTTGAAGAAGCAAAGGAAGGTAACTTGTACCTAAAACAAAAGTCCTTATAGGCTCCAAGCAGCTAGTATATTATATTAGGATACTTTGTCTTCAGGAAAATTCCCTTCCTCCCTCCCTCCTTCCCTCCCTCCCTTCCTTCCTTCCTTCCTTCCTTCCTTCTTTTCTTCCCTCCCTCCCTTCCTCCCTCCCTCCCTCCCTCCCTCCCTCCCTCCCTCCCTTCCTTCCTTCCTTCCTTCCTTCCTTCCTTCCTTGTTACATTAGGATACTTTATCTTCAGGAAATTCCCCCCTTCCTTCCTTCCTTTCCTTTGCTTTTCTTTCTTTCTTCCTTCCTTTCTTCCTTCCTTCCTTCCTTGCTTACTTCCCTTTCCTCTCCCTCCCTCTCCTCCTCTTTCCCTGTCTCTCTCCCTCCCTCCTTCCCTCTCTCTCTCTCTCCTCCCTCCCTTCTTTCTCCTTTTCATGTATAGCAAGGGATATAATACTGGATCCTTGGGTGGGGGAAGGGGGGGCTAGGGGAGGGTGGGGGGGCGGGACATGGGAAGGGATAGGAGGGGGAAACAAAGGAGAAAGCAATAATGCTTGATAAGAAATGTACTCATTATCTTGCCCATGTAATTGTAACTCCTCTGTACCGTATTTTCATAATAAAAAATTTAAAAAATACTGGATCCTTGAAAATATTAGGCAAGCACTCTACCACTGAACTACAAACCCCCAACCCTTTAGAAATCTTTTTTTTTTTTTTTTTTATCAGTCCTGGGGCTTGAACTCAGGGCCTGGACGCTGTTCTGACCTCTTTTGCTCAAGGCTAGTGCTCTACCACTTTGGCCACAGCACTACTTCCGCTTTTGCAGCAGTTAATAGGAAATCAGAGTCTCATGGGAACTTTTCTGCCTGGGTTGGCTTTGAACTGTGATCCTCAGATCTCAGCCTCCTGAGTAGCCAGGATAACAGGTGTGAGCCACTGGCATCCGGTGCCACTGGCACCTGGGAGAAATCTTTTTTTGTGTGTGTGTGGGGGGAAGGTGGTCTGGTTGCAGGGCCTGAACTCTGGGCCTGGGTGCGGTCCCTCAGCTCTTCAGCTCAAGGCTAGCACTCTACCACTTGAGCCACAATGCCACTTCCGGCTTTTTTTTCTTTTTGCTTATGTGGTACTGGGGAATCGAACCCAGGGCCTCATGCATGCAAGGCAAGCACTCTGCCACTGAGCCACCTTCCCAGCCCCAATGGAAGGAATCATTTAAAACTATACTTTATACATCTGCAGATGTGCTCTTCAGTTTTAGAAGTCATTTACTTGTTAGTTTTCCATTCTTACCATTTATAAAATCTCTCCAACTTTAATGAGTTTCACAGTGACATTAAGGCAACATTTAAGTACTTGACACTGCTACTGACTTTTCTCAACACCTAGGGAACTAGAAATTATCAACCATATTGTACAAGAGAGGCTATTCATGTCTCAGTGCTAAAATTAGGGCTCCAAATAACTATACATTTGCCAAGCATTTTCTCATTCTCAAATAGATCTCAAATCATTTCTGTCGACTCCTCTTCCTTTCCGCAATAAATCATAGCAACCATAAATTTGTAGCACAAAACCCCACACTCATTCTGCCTTAATGGATCTAAGTCAAGACAAACCTTTTATGAATGTCAGTTTCAAATGTCCTTTCACATGTCATGAAAATACCTGATTTCCACTTGATTTATGATCATGAAAAGTCTGCATCTAAACTTACTCTTCTTTCTGTTGCACACAGGTGAATAACTTTATTACTGTGAAGATTTCTGGGCGCTTTGCTATCACTTTGGTCTACAAATGGCATCCCAAAAGCCTGAAGCTGTCTCTAGCACCTGTAAAGCACAAATTTTTGCCTCTATGTTTAGCTGACATGGTAGGTCCAGTTCGCCACTTCTTTTCCCCTTTTCCCTTCCCCTTTCTTTTCCCCTTGCCTTTTCTTTTCCCCTTCTCCTTTCTTTCCTTTTCCCTTCTTCCTTTTCTTTCATTTCTTTTGTTGTTTCTTCTTCCTTTCCTTTTTCCTTTCCTCCTCTTCCTCTCCAATCCCCCTTCCTTTCTTTTCCTTTTCCTTCCTTTTTTCCCCCTTTTATTCCTCCTCCTCCTCCTCCTCTTCCTCCTCCTCCTCCTCCTCCTCCTTCTCCTCTTCCTCCTCCTCCTTTTTGCTCAGTCATGGGGCTTGAACTCTGAGCCTGGGCACTGTCCCTAAGAGCTCAGGGGGAGTGCTCTACCACTTGAGCCAAAGTGCCACTTCCAGTTTTCTGGTGGTTTATTGGAGATAAGAGTCTCACGGACTTTCCTTCCTAGGCTGACTTTGAACTACAATCCTCAGATCTCATCCTCCTGTGTAGCTGGGATTACAGACACAAGCCTCTGACACTAGCTAGTTTATTATCTATTTAATGATGGCATTGGAGCTGAGCTCTGCCTGTAGTCCTAGCTACTCAGAAGACAGATCTGAGGATCACAGTTGGAAGCTAGCCTTGGAAAAAAATTCTTTTTTTTTTTGGTCGGTCATGGGGCTTGAACTCTGGGCCTGGGTGCTGTCCCTCAGCAATTCAGCTCAAGGTGAGCGCTCTACCACTTGAGCCACAGTGCCACTTCTGGTTTTCTAGTGGTTTATTGGAGATAGAAGTCTCACGGTCTTTCCTGCCTGGGCTGGCTTTGAACCTATACATTTAGAAACCTATACATCTATGTGAATTAAATACTTGTTACAGAAATAGTAAAAATGCATATTTTTAAATTTTTACTATTTAGAATTACTATAACATTTTGAATATTCTGAATCCATGTAATTTCTCTATAATTAGTTCATTTTGTAAAATTGTCCTTCCTTCCCAAGTGTTATTAACCATGACTTCTGAAAAGAGCTTGCAGCCTCTCCCAGCCCATTTTTATTCTCATTTCCAGAGAAGTCAATGAATTGTTAGCCACTATTTCAACTTTAGAGACAAAGGAGGATTCTATTTGCATGGTTTTTTTCAATGCCAATAGACACTAGATTCGTTTTACAGAACCAGTTACTTGACATAGGTAGTTTCATTTATATAGTTAATTGGAAGAGGCAAGGATGACTTTTGTTAGGAAGTATTTTGTATTTAACTTTATAGAGAAAAGTTGTAATCATGTTTAAGTATGGCAATTCAATGGCAGTAAGTACACTTAATCTCACCACCATCCGTCTCCCAAGTTCTTAGTCTTATAAAACTAAAATTCTGTACCTATTAAAACAATACCAAGGAAGTGGCGCTGTAGCTCAAGTGGTAGAGTGCTCGCCTTGAGCTGAAGAGCTGAGGGACAGCGCCCAGGCCCAGAGTTCAAGCCCCACAACCGACAAAAAAAAAAAAACAATACCAAGCCTGTTCTGTGTAGTCTTTAAAAAAAATCACCATTCTCAAGGATTGTGGTTCAAAGCCATCCCAGGAAGGAAAGTCTGTGAGACTCTTATCTCTAATTAACCACCAAAAAAAAACGTAAGTGGTGCTATGGCTCAAGTGGCTCAAGCTCTTCAGCCTTGAGCTGAAGAGCTCAGGGATAGTACCCAGGCCCAGAGTTCAAGCCCTACAACAGACCAAAAAAAAAAAAAAAAACGATCACCATTATCTGATCTCTAAATTTGACTTGACTTCTCTAAGTACCTCATATGAGTGGGATTACAAGTGTTTGTCCTCCTTAAAATTAAATTTTTATCATCTTTAAGTAGTTGTGCAACTACTTACCATTCAACAAGTCAGTTTATAAGTATAATACATCCTAATTGATATCATCCCTTTCATTCTTTTCCCCCATTCCTCCCATCCCAATCCCTCCCCCTCATTGTATTTGTCCTTTTTTAAGTGGTTTATTTTATTTAATCTAGCATTTTTAAGCTTCCTTTAGCTGGGCACTGGCAGCTCACATCTATAATCTTAGCAACTCAGGAGGCTGAGATTTGAGGATCACAGTTCAAAGCCAGGCAAGGCAAGAAAGCCTGTGAGAGTGTTATCTCTAATTAACCACCAAAAAGCTGCAAGTGGATCTGTGGCTCAAGTGGTAGAGCACTAGCCCTGAGTGAAAAAAACAAAAGGGATAGCAAGCACTCAGACCTTGAGTTCAAACCCCAGTATTTGTCCACAAACAAACAAACAAAAAACTAACAGACATAGTGACTGGGTCCCTAAGTTCTCTTCCAGCCAGTGAAGAATTCAGTGTTCTGTTTGTTCCCTTTACTCGCAGACACATTCTGGAGTTACCATGAGGCTTGAATGCTTGCTGCCCCTGGAGATACAAGCCAGGGTGTGTATAGAACAAGTGGGAATCTGCCACAGACTACAAAGCTCCTAGCAGCCAATACTGGCCCTCAGTATGTGTGTGTGTGTGTGTATCTCACACACACACACACACACACACACACACACACACACTTAAACTCTTCCATTCACTTCTTTAAACCTTTTCTTTAATGAGTTATGGCTTTTTGACTTCCTGGTTTCTATATATCTTAATGTGGCTCTGTGTTGATCACCAAAATTATGCAAAGAACAGGAGTTGGGAAGGTGGCTCAGTGGTAGAGTGTTTGCCTTGAAAGCATGAGGCCCTGGATTTGATTCCTCAGCACCACATAAGCAGAAAAAGCTGGGAGTGGCACTTGGCTCAAGTGGTAGAGTGCTAGCCTTGAACTGAAGAGCTGAGGGACAGTGCCTACTAGGCCCAGAGTTCAGGCCCCATGACCGACAAAAAAAATGCAAATAACAATAATGAGTTAAGTATATAAGTATTCATGTGTTTAATATGTGAACATGTAAATGTTCCTATGATTATGTATACTTAATGAATATGTATATATTAATATATATATATATATAAACACTAAATAATCTAGCCATGTAAACTCATGCACTTATTATTGTGGCAAAATATTCATAACATTGACGTTACCATTTTAACCTTTTGTGAGTATTTCAATGAGTTAGGTACCCTCACAGGGGACTGTGGCTTTTATATGTGACTTTGGTCCTAGTTTCTGACATAATGTCTGGCCCATAAGTAATTTTAACACTCAATAAATACTTATTGGGTGACATAATAAATGGATGAGTGAGTGAATACATAAAGGAATAAAATATTTAATGTTGAGCTGGAATGTAACTCAGTGGCCTAGCAAGTGCAGTGTCCTGAATTCAATCCCCAGTATCAAAAAAGAAAAGACAAAAATAGTTAAAAATAATTAATGTTGGCTAATATATGAAGTGGTGTCTCTTTCCTGTCCTTATATTTGTAAGTCTGTTCTTTCAGACATCTATATTCATGTCTGTATCTCATAAACATACATTTTTCTATGTCTTCCTGTTTTAAAGCCTACTGGTTCAGCAGACCAATTGATTACAAGCACTATTGATTCATCAATGGATATAAGCCCTATGCATGACTTTGTGACATCTATCAACCTGAGAATGCTACAAAAGAAGGCCAAGCATATCTTCTCTCACTGGTTGAATCACTACAGATTTTCACTGGGTCAGTTCTGGAAACCTATTATGTTGTTCCACATGACCAGTTCCCATTGTTAAGCACTTCAAAGAAGTAATATTCAAATGCCTATCCCCTCAAAGTTTTGCAAAGTAGCAAGTTCATGAAATGTGAAACTCTGTAGACACAAATTCTTCTCATGGACTTGAGTGATTGGCTAGCAGGAAAATAAAAGTTGTGGGCTGGGAAGATGGCTCAGTGGTAGAGCACTTGCCTTGCATGCCTGAGGCCCTGGGTTCGATTCCTCAGCACCACATAAGCAAAAAGAAAAAAGTTGGAAGTGGCGCTGTGGCTCAAGGGGTAGAGCGCTAGCCTTGAGCTGAAGAACTGAGGGACAGAGCCCAGGCCCAGAGTTCAGGCCCACGACCGGACCCTCCTCCCTCCCCCCCCCCCCCCCCCCCCGAAAGAAAAGAAAAGAAAAGTTGTGCTTGATACTACTTCCTTTTTCTTTGTGGAGAAGAGAATCTACTTGGCCACTTTTTTAGCACCAGGAAAAGGTGCTTTTATGTTCATTTTTAACATCAGAAAACTTCCCTTTAAAACCTTCCCCAGTTTCCCCATTGTACTTCAGTCCTTGCACATGAGTTCTGCTCACTGGCTATATTGTAAAGGAACCTCACATTGGAATATGTTATTGCAGCATCAACTTGTACTTAACATTTGATTAGAGTCTGCACTATTTCACTCCTTGACTATTAATGTAACAGTTTATTCATTTTTTTTTTTGTTTTGTTTTGCTGGACGTGGGGCCTGAACTGTGGGCCTGGGCACTGTCCCTCAGCTCTTCAGCTCAAGGCTAGCGCTCTACCACTTGAGCCACAGCGCCACTTCCAGCTTTTTCTGCTTATGTGGTACTGAGGAATCAAACCCAGGGCCTCATGCATGCAAGTCAAGCACTCTGCCACTGAGCCACCTTCCAGCCCTATTCATGTTATTTGTAGAAATGAGATACTATAAAATCTCCACAAACACTGAATTATTGAATACTAAAACACTGCTCCTAGGATAGCTTATAGATTGAGCTTCCTGGGAGATCTGGTAACAACATTTTTGCCTATTGATCAATATAACCATATTATATATGTGTTTCTGTCTAAAGACACCTTATTTATTATATATTTGTTAATAACAATGAATTCGTGGTCAACAACACATCTGAAAAAAGCCTATCTAAAACATGTATTTTATTCTTTCTTTCTTTCTTGCAATTTTTTTTTTTTTTTTTTGTCGGTCGTGGGGCTTGAACTCTGGGCCTGGGCACTGTCCCTCAGCTCTTCAGCTCAAAGCGAGTGCTCTACCACTTGAGCTACAGCACCACTTCCGGTTTTCTCATGGTTTATTGGAGATAGGAGTCTCACGGTCTCTCCGGCCCGGGCTGGCTTTGAACCGTGATCCTCAGATCTCAGCCTCCTGAGTAGCTAGGATTACAGGCGTGAGCCACCAGCGCCTGGCTCTTTCTTGCAATTTTTTATTGTAATTAAATGATTACATAAATTTCACACATTTCACAGTATTATAGGAGAGTGATACTTAGTTAAAGTCCCAAACACATTCTAACCTTCATGGCAAATGATCTCTATCATGGTCTATAAAGTTTATGTATATTTTATTCTTAAGGTATATCACAGCCTTCTTGAGTGTAGTATTACACTTGCAGGCTACTGTAAACAGAAAAATCAGGGCTAGGAAGGTGGCTCAGTGGTAGAGTACTTGCCTTGCATTCATGAGGCCCTGGGTTCGATTCCTCAGCACCACATAGGCAAAAAGAAAAAAGTCAGAAGTGGCGCTGTGGCTCAAGTGGTAGAGTTCTAGCCTTGAGCTGAAGAGCTGAGGGACAGAGCCCAGGCCCAGAGTTCAGGACCCACGACTGGACCCCAAAAAAATAAAAAAAATCAATAAAAAGCACAAAAATGCTCCAAGCATAGTAATACATAATATAAGAAGAGCAGTTTTTTTTTTTGTTTTTTTGTTTTGTTTTTTTTTTTTTACAGTAGAAGAGCTGAAACAAGAAGACAAAATGAAGCTTCCTTTGATTTCAGCTGGGAGCATGCATAAAAGGCGACTTGAAACGTTCACCTCTCTGCACCTCTGAATGGCTAACAAAGTGTCATGAATACCGGGGTGGGGGAGGTTTCAAAAAATTATAGTAAGTAGGCAAATTCACAGACATGGAATTGTATTGATTATGTGCTAAATCCAAAGGCACCTTACCTTCTCCATTTGAGGAATTGGTTTAGAACATACTGTGGTATAGAGCAGAACTTCCAGAAGGAAATGCACAGATGTTTTACACAGGAACTGAAAGCAGAAATACCCCTCAGAAGAGCTCATCTGGGCTCGAATGACTGAATCCATAAGACCTATGAGCAGCCTTGTAAGTTTATCCCATACATCAGTTTGTATCACATTTTCTGTGATAACAATTTTTATCTTGGGCCCAGTGGCTCAAACCTATAATCCTAGCTACTCAAGATCCAAATCAGAGGATGCTCAAATCCGAAATCCTTTTCATAAAATTATGTAGTATTTGCATGTTACTACACATATCTTCCTGCATATTTCAAATCATCTCTCTACTTGTTATTCCTAATTTTTATGTAAAAAATTGTTACAATGTATTGTTTATAGGATAAAGATAAGGAAAATATCTATCTATCTATATATATATATATATATATATATACACTATAGATGAAATTTTTTCAAGTGTTTTTGATCCATACTTGGTTGAATCCATAGTTTTGTTTTTTGTTTTGTGCTGGTCCTGGGGCTTGAACCAGGGGCCGGGAGCAGTCCCTGAGCTTTCTCAAGGCCAACATTCTACCACTTGAGCTATAAAACTCCACTACTTTTTGTGTGTGTATGTGATTAATAAAAATCTCACAGACTTTATTTCCTGGGCTGGCTTTGAACTGTGATCCTCAGATTTTAACCTCCTAAGTAGCTAGGGTTATGGGTAAAAGCCATCAGCTCCTAACTAGTTAGCTGACAAATCTTTGAGAAAAGCAGTTTAAAAGACAGAAGATTTAAATGTGCAGAGAATTTTGGAGGTTTCAGTTTCTGGTCAGCTGGCTCCAATGTGTTGGGGCCAAAGTGGTGAGGCAGAACATTGTGGCAGGTTACAGGCAGAGGAAAGCTGATTACTTTATGACAGCAAGGAAATAGAAAAGATGGAGAAGGAGTAGGAAATCTTTTTAATAAATCAAATCTTTTAATAGATCCCAAGAGACCTACTTCCTCCAATTAGTCTTCACTTCCCTACTACTTTCTAATAACAACATCAAATTAGAATCCACAAATGGATTATTCTATCAGTTAGGTCAGGCTCCCATGATCCAACTCCTTTCCCAACTCCCTATCTCTGAAAACTGCATTGGGATCAAGTCTTTACTACACAAGCCTTTGGAGGGTTAGGGGAAGACTTTATATTCAAACCATAAGACCTTCAGTATAAAACGCTTAGATACAGAGGGCTAAATGTACTCACATTACAATGGTAGTTATTCAATATAATAATCTACTTAAGCACTTGATGGATAGGAAAATTTCTACATTTATTACATAGATGCCTTTTATTCTCTAAGCAGACCAAGAGGTACATGTGAAGTAAGAGAACCATCAGAAAATGAACACCTGGAAATGGTAAAAGAGCACCAGGCTACTGCAGGCAACTTAATCCATACAGCTCAGCCTATAGATGCTTTGGTCTACTAAGAATGTTTCGAAAAATAAATTGTTTTTTTTTTTAAATTTCAGGAATGGAATCAATAAACATTTGCCAAACACCTGAGTTGCCACAAAAAGTGATCATCAAACAAAAGGTCTCTTTAACAACAGTTCCTCTGAAACAAGATATAAATGAAAGTTCTAAGCATAAGGAGTATCTTCAATATCAATATACCTTCCAACCACTGAAGAATGTCTTTAAGCTTTCACCTCCTTGTCGAATTCAGAGGGCCTTAGCTATCAATCAGACCTCCCGGTAACAAGACTCTTTTTATCTCTCCCTTCTATTGGTCTTAATAATCCATAGTGCATCTGATGTTTGAAAGACCAAGAGTTAGATGGATATTTCATTCAGTTCCTACAAATGTTCAGTAAGGCCAGGCACTGATGGCTCACATCTGTAATACTAGCTACTCAGGAGGTGTTTTTACAGAGCCAATATCCAATAACCAGCTACCACAGTAGATGATGCTGAGAGATGGATGGAAGAAGCAGACAAACCTAGGATGGCATAGAGTGCCAAATTTAAGGACAGAGATGTCTCAGGTAATAGCCAAAAAAGCCTCCCATACCTGCAGGAGAATGAGGAGTTTATATGCTAAGCTAGAAAAAGGTGGATAGGGGCAGTCACCAGGCAAAAACCTGGGATTTCTTGAACTTTCAACACTGCTTTTGCTGTGTCCCAGAGGTTGTGGTATGACATGCTTTTATTTTCATTGAATTACTATTCAACAGTGTGTTGTTCAATCTTGCTATTGAGTTCTGGTTCTTTTGTGATCAGATAGAATATAGGGAGTTATATCAATAAATATTTCCTCAGGATTATTGTGTATCCTAAGATATGATCTATTTTGAAGAAAGTTCAATGGTCTGCTTAGAAGAATGTCTTGTGTGGTTGCTGGGTGAAATACTCTGTAGATATCTATTAAGTCCATTTGGGTTATGATGTCACTTAATTTAGAGGTTTCTTTGCTGATCTTCTGTTTGGTTGAATTATCCTTTGATGAGAATGAGGTGTTAAAATCTCCCTCTATTATTGTGTTGGGAGGGGTCTCTAAGTTTTTGTTAGTTTACGAGTGTTTGTTTGATTGGAGTGCTTGTTTGATTGTTTAATTGGGAGCTCTGCTATTTGGTGCATATATTGATGACTGTAATTTGTTTCTTCGTGGATCATTCCATTTAATATGTAGTGACCTTCTTTATTTCTTATTGATTTAACATGAAGCCCATTTTATCAGCTATCAGTATGGCTACTCTTTCCTTCTTGCAGGATTTAGCTGCTTGGAATATCTTTTTCCATTCCTTCACTCATAATTTGTGTTCATCTTTGGCAGATATGTTTCTTGGAGACAAAAAAAATGGATGGATCTTGGTTTTTTTTTGTGTGTTGTTTTGTTTACAAAAGTAACAGCTTTATTTATGAAAATGCTCAGGGACAGCACCCAGGCCCTGAGTTCAAGCCTTATGGCCAACCAAAAAAAAATATTTCTACTTGAACTTGTCTACTTTCTCAATTCTTAAAGGACAGAACTAATTCCTTTTAAATACATGGCCCCATGGTTCCTCCTCAATAACCTTGTTTTTTCTATCTCCTTCCAATAAAGTCAGTACCTTCTTCCTGATGCACATTTGAAGTGAAATTGGTGATTCAGCCCTCAAAATACAATTTTTAATAAAGCTGAGAAATGCAGGAAATAGACAAAATACATGCCCACTTGGATTTTTAAAATCCATGCTTCTTGAAAATATTACAGGAAAGGGGAAACACTGGGGCTCCTTGGCATGGGTCGAAACTTCCTAAGTAAAGATCCAGAAACATAACACATCAAAGCAAGGCTGGATAATTGGGATTGCATCAAACTGAAGAGTTCCTGCATAGCAAAAGACATAGCTGGCAAAATAAATAGAAAGACTACAGAATGGGAGAAGATCTTTACTAGCTATGCCTCAGACAAGGGCCTCATGTCTAAAATATACTTAGAGCTCAAAAAATTAAATGCCCCCCCAAAACAAATTCTCTAAGAAACAGCAACCAAATTAGTAAATTGGCTAAAGTCTTAAAGAGAGACTTCTCAGAAGATAAAGTAAGAATGGCCAACAGAAACATGCAGAGATGTTCAGCATCTCTGGACATAAAAGATATGCAAATCAGAACAACATTGAGATTTCACTGCAACCCAGTTAGAATGGCCAATGTCAACAAAACTAACAATAACAGGTGCTGGCAGGAATATGGCCAAAAGGGAATGCCTCTACACTGTTGGTGAGAATGTAAACTTGTTGAACCACTCTGGAAAGCAGTATGAATGTTCCTTTAAAAGACTAAACATAGAGCTTCCTTTTGATCTAGCAGTTCCACTTCTGGTTATTTATCCAATTGACCACAAACCAGGCCACACTAAAGCTACCAGCACAACCATGTTCACTGTAGCATTGTTTACCATAGCCAAGATATGGAATCAGCCCAGATGCCCCTCAGTGGATGAATGGATCAAGAAAATGTGAAATATGTGTGTGTATGTGTGTGTGTGTGTTATATACATACCTCACTGACCATGTTCCACTTTTCAAAATTGAGGTATTATGATCATATGATAAAGGTGATAAATACATACACATGTGTATACACACACACAATGGACTTATATGCTTCTATCAGAAAGAATGACATTGGAAAGAATGCCATTCATAAGGAAACAAAAAGACTTGGAAAAAATTATATTAAGCAAAAAAAATAAGTTGTATTAAACAAAGTAAGCCAGACCCAAAGAAACATAGGTTGCATAGTTTCCCCTCATTTTTAGTAATGAGAATGTGCCTATAAGTATACAGGCAAACACAATGGAAAGGAAAAGACAAAAAAATTATATAATAAGTTAAACAGGACTCCAAACATTCACACAGATACCAAAGGAGGATATTCTTAGGAGAGGATCACAAAGGCTTAATAGTTATGTGCATATGATCATATAAAATGATGCTTACTGAAATGAACTCCACATAAAGGAAAATAAGTTTTTTTTTCTTTTTTCTGTTTTTCCCTTTTTGTTGCTGTTTTTTGTATTTCTGTACCTCTTGTCTTGTATGTAAGTTTATCTGATTTGGGGAGGGTAAGGGAAGCACAAAATTAGTAGGACAAAGGGTGAACTAATTCAGCAGTGATACTAGACACTACATTGATTTTGTTTTGGGTCCGGTCGTGGGGCCTGAACTCTGGGCCTGGGCGCTGTCCCTCAGCTCAAGGCTAGCACTCTACCACTTGAGCCTCAGCGCCAATTCTGGCTTTTTTTTTTTCTTTTTGCTTATGTGGTGCTGAGGAACCGAACCCAGGGCCTCATGCATGCAAAGCAAGCGCTCTATCACTGAGCCACCTTCCCAGCCCCACTAGACACTACATTGATATAACTTGTGGGGGAGGGAGGCCAGGAGGGAAATACTGGGAGAAAATAAGGGAAGAGGTGACACTGTTCCAAAAAAAATATTCATTACTGATTTATGTAACTGCAATCCCTCTATATATCACCTTTACAATAAATAAATACATAAATAGAAAAAAATCCATGCTTTTTACAAAATTCAGAAACTATCTTCACAGGCAGAGATCAGTTCACAGAAAAAATACTGTTAGTATAGAAGTATTTAAATAACTTGAAATGCTCAAAGCAATGCACAGACACTCCAACACATAAAGATGCAACTATACATCAATGACAAATCCATGAAGTCTCTACATAGTCAACTTTGTAGTTCCAACTTCTCTCTTTAGGCCCAAGCAAGTTTTTAAACCCTGTAAAATTCAGTCACCATTTATGGATTAAACTATAGTAGCAAACTTAAATATCCTCTCATTTCTTACCAGGACAATATATAACTTGCTTTAAAAAATAAGTAGAAAAATGTAAAAGCCCAGATTCTACTGGTGAAAAATGCGAATGAAAACAAAACAAACAATATCTAGGTGACCTAGTGCAATATTTTGTACAGAATAGTATGGCTGCACAGTTTGTAAATTAAAACTGGTATTCAGTCAAAGAACTTACCCTTAGTACAAAATTGTTTTGGTAAGCTTCAGCATCTCCTAGAAAAATAGACTTCCTCTGAGGATATCAGTTTAAAGCAGCCTGGGCAGGAGAGGCTGTGAAACTCTTTTTTTTTTGGGGGGGAGGGGGGGTCCGGTCGTGGGGCCTGAACTCTGGGCCTGGGAGCTGTCCCTCAGCAGTTCAGCTTAAGGCTAGCACTCTACCACTTGAGCCACAGCACCACTTCTGGCTTTTTTTTTTTTCTTATGTGGTGCTGAGGAATAGAACCCAGGGCCTCATGCATGCAAGGCAAGCGCTCTACCACTAAGCCACCTTCCCAGCCCCGGCCGTGAAACTCTTATGTCCAATAAATTACCAAAAAGACCCCATAAGTGGCGCTGTGGCTCAAGTGGTAGAGTGCTTGCCTTGAGATGAAGAACTGAGGGACAGTGCTCAGGCCCAGAGTTCAAGCCCCATGACTGACAAAAAAAAAAAAAAAGTCAAAGGATTTACTGTTACATGGAGAGTGTCAGGTGGCAAACCAGGATTTAGCTTTCTGTTCTCTAACCATGGCTTATCAGTCTATTAATAAACCTAAAAAACCAATTCAGAAGTATGTTATAGGTATTTCAACTTCAGTAATGTCCAGTGGGAAAATTATGATAGGAAAAGTGTACATACCAATCCAGCTTTGTCTTACTTTATTCTTTTTTCTATTTGTGTGCTTTTGGCCAAATGATTGCACCTCAGTTTTTGAGGCTCATCTTTTCCATCCATAAGGATGGAAATGACTTCAGTTGTTCCAATGGTTGAGAGAATAAAAGGAAATATCTTACAAACCAGCCTTTTGTACATTCTCCTTGCCATAAAATTGCAATTAATGTTCTAGTGTCATTCTTACTAGCAACTATTTAGTCTTTTACCTGCAGAGCTGATATGTAATATTTATTGCACTGATAAATATTGTAGCATGTTAGCAAATGAAATGCTGTCTAGAATTAAATTTCAATGTTGTACCAAAGTGATCACCCATAATTTAGGGATGTTCTTTCTGTCCTTACAATTCTTCAATGTGATTCCTCACTATTACATTTCCAGGTTTTCTCTTCCCAGTGACAGAAAGGATTCATGTTTTGGTTCCCTGCTGATTTGTCCTGTAGTCCTGAGGCAAACACTGTGTGGAAAGGAAGAGGATACATGCCGATGTAGCCCTTACAGCATTCCTGAAGTGACAGACCTGGAGTATGATAACCTTATAAACAACCAGCTAGCCTCTACAGATCAGATTATAATCGTCTATGTATTCTCAGCTAAGGAAAAGGACAAGCATATCGAAGAAGTGACTAAAGTATACAGAGAACTAAATAGATCCAGAACCATGCCTTGCATTCAGGTAATAACAACATGTAGGAAAATGTTTCGTTGTATGCTTTATCTTAATACATTTTCTCAGTAACATAAAAAATTATGAATGCCTCAATATTTTTGGAGAATGAGGAGTCTGAACTCAAAGCCTCATACTTGTCAAGCAAGTGCTCAACCACTTGAGTCAGAACAACAGCTTTCTTTGCCTTAGTTATTTTTCAGATAGTCTCACCCTCTTGCCTGGGGCCAGCCTTAGACTGTGAATCTCTGACCTTTTTGCCTCTCTTTACTTTGATTACATATTCACGTCAACATATGTTTTTTTGTTTGTTTGTTTTGTCAGTCATGGGGCTTGAACTCTGGGCTTGGGCTCTGTACCTCAGCTCTTCAGCTCAAGGCGAGCGCTCTACCACTTGAGCTACAGCACCACTTCTGTTTTTTTCTTGTGGTTTATTGGATATAGGAGTCTCATGGTATTTCCTGCCCTGGCTGGCTTTGAACCATAATCCTCAGATCTCAGCCTCCTGAGTAGCTAGGATTACAGGCGTGAGCCACCAGCGCCTGGTAACTCTTTAAGATAAGGTCTTTCAGCCAGTACTGGTGGCTCACACCTCTAATTTTAGCTACTCAGGAGGTTGAGCTCTGAGAATTCTGGTTTAAAGCCAGTTCAGGCAAGGAAGTCCATGAGCCTCTAATCTCCAGTTATCTACCCCAAAACCCAAAAGTGGAGCGGTGGATAATGTACTAGCCTTGAACAAAAAAGCTCAGGACAGTACCCAGGCCTTGATTTGAAACCCAAGAACACCACACAAAAAGATAAAAAGAAAACAAAGTTTTACTGACTTTTTTTACTCAACGGTGGCTTCTAACTATGATCCTCCTAGCTCTACCTTTTAAGGTACAAGGATTACAAGCATGAGCCACTGTACCTCACTGACCACATTCTACTCTCCAAAATTGAGGTATTACGATCATATGATAAAAGTTATAAAATTTAATGGCTACAACTTTATTCCCAAAGTTTCATGTGCTTAGAAAATTGGTATTGAGGTTGTGGAAACTTTAAAAGTAGGGTCCTGTAGGAGATAATTAGATCACAGTGATGCTACCACTAGCAGAAATTAATGACTTATTATAAGGGAGTGTATTAGGTCCCATGGGACTAGATTAGTTCTTATGAAAATGTATTGTTTTAAGGTTGAGGCTTTTTTTTGTTCTTGGCCTCTTCCACATGTAGCCATTCTCTTCATGCTTCACCATGTTGTGAAATAGCCGGGGAGGCCCTCATTAGATGCCAGTGCTGTTTGGAATTCTAGTGGCATGCCAGGTATTGAAATCATGAGCCAGATAAATCTTTTTAAATATGTATCTGATATTTTGTCATAGCAAGGCAAAATGGATTAATACAGGCATATGGCATAATGAATTTTTATGTATCTGCATAATCATCATCCAGATCAAGATATAGAATATTTCCAGTCCAATAGAATAGAATGCCAATATTCTCCCCTTCTGTGTCCATAGCAGACATTAGTAATTTATCATTCTATTTAACTGAGTCTTGGCTAAGCCTTGAACTACTTTATCTGAATACTCTCCAAGTAGTTGCTACCAGTCTCAGTAGCCATGCATGAAACCACTCTTATTTTTATTTATTTGATCACTGTGGCCTACTTCCCTGACTGCCTCTTTCTCTCAACCCCACTACTTCTGCTTGCTGCAGGCCTTTATTACCACCCACAGATTTTCTATGTTAGCCTAACTGGTTTTTCTGCTTCTGGTCTTGGTCTCTACCTAGGTTTCTACCTATTACAGAGTGTTCTTTTTACCATGTGAACATGACTGCAGTGTTCTTATAATCCTTTAAGGACTTCCTTTCAAGTCAAGTCTAAGTTCTTTAGACTCACTCACACTATGGCTCTCTCTATCCTGATGGTTCCACTCCCTGTCCCACCTTACTCTTATTATAGCCCTAAGGAACATATTAGCTTGATAATATATTAGTATTTGATCTTCCTCAGGTTAAGACATGTGAAAGCCAAAAGTCCTGGATTGTGTCAAAGCCATGACCACATCACTCTGAGCAGGAATGTGGAAATGAGATACTCAGGAAGGGTAGGGAGCCACAGGTGAGGGGCAATGGCAGTAGAACCTCAGTTAAGGAAGTGATGGCAGCCCTTGGTGCCACAGTTTCAGGGCAGCTTGTTACTGGCATCCCCAGAGGGGAACTTGGAGTCATAGGTGAGCTTCTCACCATGCAGTATGTGGTAAAGAGCAAAGATGACAGTATGTTTCTGACATTCCACATGGATGATAGGATAGAAGCAGCTGGCTTCATATGAGTGGTTGATGGCATTTTTAAGAGTAGGTTTCTAGGAACTACTTGTACAGATACATTTACTGAAGTCTTACAATATGTGGTAATGTGACAGGGTCTGGATGTTGGAATTTTCTTTCAAGTCTAATCTTATCTTCAAGGAAAAGGCAATCCAGAAAATGGACAACCAGAGCATGGTGAAGTGATAACCAGAGCATGGGTCAGAAATATAGACAGAGCATTCAGGCAGGAAGCATCGTGTAGAGCAGTATGATTCAGGTGGAGAGCACTTTCCTACACATTGCCATGTTTTGGAAGACTCCATGTTGGAAGACAAGAGGATGTGGGACAGACCACATTGAGAAAGCCAGTAAACAGAGGTGTTCACAGGGGCCTGACTGTGAGGCTTGAAAGGATTTTGAACTCTGCTTGAAAAGTAGGAAGGTTCATTAAAGGATTTATGCATAGAAACAACATGAAAAGACTGTGTGGTGAAGGATAATTTTGACAGAAAGATGCAGAGTGGCAGGGACAACTGTTACTGCACTTAACCAAGTGTGAAATTATCAGAGTGAAAGTGAGAAAAGGATGGTACATATGAAGTAAGACTGCATCAGAAATAAGACTCCATAAGATCTGGAAGTATTAAGTAGGGAAGAGTTTACCTCTCATCTTCTCATTTGGACAATTTAGAGAATAGTAGCACTGGTTTTTATTTGTTTGTTTGTTTATTGAGATAGGAAATTTAGAAGAAGGAGGGTAAGAAATATCTCAGGCTGGATGCTTGACATATTCCTAGAATCCAATACTTAGAAGTCTGAGGCAGGAAGATTGATAGTTCTAGCCAGCTTGAACTACATAGAGAGAGGCCATCTAAAAATAAAAATAAACAAGTTTCAACATGTCTTACTGCTTAGGTGGCTATCTCAAAACATAGGAGCTTAAACCAGTAAGCATCTGTTTGTTTGTGAATGGTACTTAACCCTGCTTCATGGAGCATTGGTGGAGTCAGTTTGAACAGGCTAAGGGATTCAAGCCCATTCACATGGCTGGTGGGAAGTGCTACTGCCATTTGGAGCTTAGTTATGGCAATTGGCCCAGGGACCTCTTTTCATAAGGACTCTTGGAGCCCTGCTCCAGATTCTGCATAACAAGATGCCTGTTTAAAGAAGGAATGTTCCAAGAGGTGAAATGGGAACTACTTCTCTTAATACCTAGTCTCACAGTGGCATGGTATGCTATTGGTCAATGCCTATCCCAGGCCAAACTAGATTCAAGGGCATCAGAAATGGCATCCATCTCTTGATGAATAGAGTGGCAAATAATCTGTAGCTATGTTTAATCCACCATAAGAACATTTAAAGAAAAGTATAAATAGTCCTGTTGGACATGCTGAGTTTTGGTTTCCTGAGTGATGAAAAATGGAAGATCAAGAAGTCAACATCTCGGGCTGGGAAGGTGGCTCAGTTGTAGAGCGCTTGCCTTGCACGCATGAGGCCCTGGGTTCGATTCCTCAGCACCACATAAGCAAAAAGAAAAAAGCCAGAAGTGGCACTGTGGCTTAAGTGCTAGAGCGCTAGCCTTGAGCTGAAGAGCTGAGGGACAGCGCCCAGGCCCAGAGTTCAGGCCCCACAACTGGACCCAAAAAAAAAAAAAAAAAAAAAAAAGAAGTCAACTTACAAACTTACAACTTACAAAAAAGAATCTCAACTTACAAATTTTGTGAGGAGAGCACTAGTTTTGGTAGACGTTTAGTTATTTACTCATCAAAAAATAATAGAAATATGTGTGAAGATAGTGAATAGCCTGGAGCATTGGCTCTAACAGCACTTTTTAGTATAGTAGAAACTTAGAGGTCAAGGACAGAAAAAAAATGAATTTGCTGAAGACTAGTGAAGACCTGGGGGCACAGGAAGGAGACCTAGAAAAAATGTGGCCACAGAGGCTGTGAGAGAATTGAAGAGTGATATAAATTAACCTCACATGCCATAAAGGAGTCAAGTAACAAGAAACAAAAATGTTCACTAGCCCTTGGCAATACACAAACCTTTGATGAGCCATGGAAGCAATAGTAAGGATAAAATCTAGAATACAAATACTAAAGAATACAAATACTATTAAGTAGAACAAAAAATCAGTTGCCTGTGAAGTATCTTTTAAACTTCTTTTCTTTTCTTTTAGAGTCATTTGGATCCCTTTCGGTTGCTAAAATACAACATCTTGTCAGCATCTAAATTTACAGGCAGTGATTGTCCACTTCTGGTTCAAAGACACAATATCACCCCAGGCATTTTTTTGGTATGTGTTTTAAAATAGATCACTGTTCTAGCTGGACTGTTGTTTGTAATGTTGGTCTAATTTGGAGATCATTCATAGGGTCCACAGAAGGCTGAAGAATTCAGAAATAGCTTTTACAATAAATTTTGACTATAGGTCTTCCTAGCTATTGAGTTATCCTTCCTATTGATCTAATGAAGTTAAAAACTGGACATTGTTAAAATTGAGGTGGCCAAATGAATTGGTGTGGAGATTACTCTTTGTAGTAAGATCAGTTTTCACTTTTAAGGTTATATAGTAGTTAGATAAGGAACTAAGAATACATAAAAAGTACATAATTGAAAATAGAATAACTACTGAAGTGAGGAAACTGAGTGCGCAGAGAAAGCACGGGAATTGAAAACAGAGCTGATTTCATGACCTGGTTCTATTACACGCTTGTTGTGTTATCTTTGGCAGATTTCTAAGCCTGTTTTGTCTCTTAAAATACAAAGAGTTATTGTAAAAGTAATTACTGTAAAATTTCAGCAAGACAATTGTGTAAAGTACTTGTTTCAATTTCTTGCACCTTAGAGGTACTTCATAAACATTAATTCCATTGATCTGCTTTCGGTCACTGTAAATTAGGTTTGCCTTCACTAGAATTTCCCTGAAAGGATTCAAACAATAATGATTCTTTAGGTTGATGACACTTGCATATCAGTGTTTTTTTTAAGCATCTCTAGGGGATGGGGGCATGGCTTAAGTGGTAGAGCACCTACTTAGCAAGCATGAGGACCTGTGTTCAAACACAAACATCCTGTAAATAATTTTTCTAAGAAGCAACAGGCAGGATGTTCTCTCAAGATCCTTCCATCTTAGAAGGAGGAGGAGGAGAAGGAGGAAACCCCATGATTTTGTCTACTGTCAATAGATGCATCAGATACATTTCAAAATCAAATGTAACTTCATGAAAGTTACATTTTAGGAATAGTAAGTATAGCAGCTGCCATTGAAATAATTATAATGATAATGTTAATATTTATAGAGTTTTAACTCAAAAATGGCTAGGCACCATGCTAAGTAATTCTTGTGTTGTTTTTTTTTTGCGGGGGGAGGAGGTCCGGTCGTGAGGCCTGGGCCTGGGCGCCTGTCCCTCAGCTCTTCAGCTCAAGGCTAGCACTCTACCACTTGAGCCACAGCACCACTTCCGGCTTTTTTCTTTTTGCTTATGTGGTGCTGAGGAATCAAACCCAGGGCCTCATGTATGCAAGGCAAGCGCTCTACCACTGAGCCAGCTTCCCAGCCGCAATTTTTGTGTATTTTTTAATCTAAATCCTCATAGTAAACAAAGGAGAGATGGGAAGATAGGTACATACTAATATTAATCCTGACAAAGAGATAGAAGCTGAAACTTAAGGGCTGGGAAGGTGGCTCAGTGGTAGAGTGCTTGCCTTGCATGCATGAGGCCCTGGGTTCGATTCCTCAGCACCACATAAGCAGAAAAAAGCCGGAAGTGGTGCTATGGCTCAAGTGGTAGAGCGTTAACCTTGAGCTGAAGAGCTGAGGGACAGCGCCCAGGCCCAAAGTTCAGGCCCCACGACCGACAAAAAAAAAAGAAGCTGAAACTTAAGCAATTCATCCAAGGTCAAGGAGCTAGCCAAGTAGAATGTCAAGGTTAAAATACAAGCTGGGCATCTGGTGGCTCACATCTGTAATCCTAGCTACTCAGGAGGCTGAGATCTAAAGATTACAGTTTGAAGCCAGCCCAGGCAGAAAAGTCCATTAGACTCTTATCTCCAATCAACTACTCAGAAAAAGCCGGAAGTAATGCTGTGGCTCAAGTGGGATAGAACACTAACCTTGAGCACAAAGAGGCTCAGGCATAGTGCATAGGCCCTGAGTTCAAGCCCTAGGACTGACAAAATAAAAAAGATTCAAATACAGATTTTCTCACTACAAATAGCAACTGCTATTATTTTATTTTATTTTATTTCATTTTATTTTATTGTCAGCTTGGGCGCTGTCCCTCAGCTCTTCAGCTCAAGGTGAGCGCCCTACCTCTTGAACAACAGTGCCCCTTCAGGTTTTCTAGTGGTTTATTGGAGAAAAGAGTCTCATGGACTTTCCTGCCCGGGTTTGGCTTTTGAACCATGATCCTCAGATCTCAGCCTCCTGAGTAGCTAGGATTATAGGTGTGAGCCACCAGTACCTAGCTAGAAACTGCTTTCAATGAAGACTGCAAGAACTTCTCCCACTACTACTACTTCTCAGGCCCACTACTTTGGGTATATGAAAGAGATGTATAGTGTAATACTTTCAGCTCATGAATGAGTTCCAGTTGAGAAGAAACTAAATGAATACTGAGCAAGAAGGCACAGTGACTCTTAGCTTCTTATAGAAAACAAGCTATCTGGTCACATGTGCCAAAGAAACAGATTCTGTATAAATGAGATGGAGCAGAGGGTCATCCACGCATCTTCAGGGATGCCACATACAAAGAAAGTGAGAGTAGCTCAATCACTGGTTTCTCAAAGCTGAATTATTTGTCAGATTTCAGCGGAAATATACATCATTGTCATGTAAACAGTCCTATTGTGTGGAAGAGAAATCTTCGGTCGTGCCTGGCTCATCACTGCCTGGATCTCCTGGATCCAGGAGTATAGGCAGGTGAACTTGCTTGGTTTGTAGCCTGGCTTCTTATAAATGTACTGTGGTTAGGACGGGGAAAAATCAATCCACATAATGAAAATATATGTGTTCCTTAAGTTCTATTCATCTGTCCCATCAGAATCCAGAGTTTGACAGGTGAAGTTGGCCTATTTCTCTGTAAGAGGATATTAACACTCATGCTGATCACCTGAGACAAAGTCCTATTCAAACAATGGCTGCCAAGCCAAGAACAAGGGGAAGACTTCAGCCTGTGGATCTGTCTGTCCACTGGGTGACAGTGTTGGTCCATCAGAAATAAATGTGTTTGTCCCTGGTCCAGGAAACTCCAGGTCCCTGAAAGGAAAGACTGCATCCAGATGGCACACAGAGGGCCATGGAGAGCCGTGTGGCTGCTCCTCCCTGAGTGAGCAGAACGGGTTTACATTTTATCTTTCAATGGAAAATGTTGTCTTGCTAGTCTCAGTTTCTCTGGGAAAAGCACTGCAGAGCATGTATGTGATTTCCATAATAAACTGCATTTTTTTCTCAAAATGTAAACAGGGCAGACAGCTTGCAAAGAACATTATGACAAATAAACTCAAAATTCATTTTAGCTATATATTCAGATTCATTAGGGGTTTATTCTTCTAAGCATACATTACTTCAGGGCTCTGAAGAGGGCAGTGTGGTTCTTACTGGGGTCTGTTATTTTCAAATTGCCAAGTCCCAGGTTGACATCATTTTGTCTCTGTCAAGAGGAAAGACAGGAAGACAAGAACAAGAAGCTGTAGTATCCAATTCCATGTGGTTGCTGGGAATGATGGAGGTATGTTAGCAAAATGCATTTAGAGGGAGAGTGATGTAGCCAGCCCAACGAGACAGAAAATGAGTTTAATGTTTGTTTTAGGAAGCTTTGAGAGGGTTGGTTGATGTTAATTTTTTTCTCTTCCATTCCACCTCTCCCAAATTGGAGAATAGAAGATAATGGCTCAAAATATTTGTGACATCATTATAATGTTTTGTGAGCAATGAAGTTACAGTAATGTGAGGCTCTGCTCCAAATTCTTAATTAGGTTGGAAGACTAAAATAGGATGCTCAGTTTAAAAAGTAGATCACCTAAAAGCTTTCTTTTTTCTTCTTTGGTTTATCTGGTCCAATTTATGTATGTTAAATTAGGATACTTATATTTTGTACAGTTAATGTAACAAAGGTTTTGAATAGTTAAGCAACACTAAAATGACAGTATTTTCTAGAGGAGTTCTATTTGAGCTCTGAGAATCTCAAGTGAGGCTTAGAAATATAACCAGGTTGTCTGGATTTCACTCCCTGAGGTTCACAATTGGCAACATTGAACGATACAAAACAAAGGGCTATGGAAGGCGCCTTGCCAAACTCCAGCTGTAAGTCACTTCTTTGCTCTTTGGACACTTCAGTCCTTCTCTGACTTTACGACACCCAGCAGCATAGGACTATTTAGACAAATTGCACCTACAAGCTTTTATTTTTCCTTCTTTCCTTCTTCCCTCCCTCCCTCCTCCCCTTCCTCCCTTCCTCCCTCCCTCTTTTTTCCTTCCCTTCCTCCCTCCCTCTTTTTTCCTTCCCTTCCTCCCTCCCTCCTTTCTTCCTTTTTTCTCTTTCTTTCTTTCTTCCTTTCTTTCTTTCTTCCTTTTCTTTGTGTACTGGTTCTGGGGCTTGAACTTAGGGCCTAGGTGCTGTACCTGAGCTTTTGTGTACTATTTGAGCCATAGTTACACTTCTTGCTTTTTGGCATTTAATTGGACTTTTCCTGACAGGGCTAGCTTGGATCCTTAGATCTCAGCTTCCTGAATAGCTAGGATTATGGGTGTGAGCCACTGTGCCTAGATTACATGCATTTTATGTTCTTGAAGAGAAGGGGTTTGGTGGTCTCACCCAGAAACACTTATGAGAAGAGGCCTTGAGCAAACAAGATTGAGAATTTGCTGGGATGAGTGCAGAGCAGAACAGAGCAGTGCAGTTTCTTCAGGGAAGCAAACCCAACCTAGATACCTCTGTTTCTCCCTGAGGGAATCACAGAGAAAGCTAAACTGAGAATACAATGCAAGGGCTTGTATCCTCAGCAGCCCAGGAAACCCTTTATCTGTTTGTCTCTGCAGAGAGGTACACAAGATTCAGTCATCCCAGTCTTAGCTACTGCACAGAATTCAACAACAACAAAAAATAAGATTAGTGTGTGAAATGACTCACATGACATAGACTAATTAGTATACCCCTTAATTATTACTGAAATAAAACAGGTCTTGCTTGTCTTGGTGGTGGAGGAAAAAATGAAAAGCAGAGTCTCTATGTGATCAACTGAAGATCTTAGGAGACTGAAACAATGTTGCTAAACTGCTAACTAATGGAAGGA